GAATCATTGGGGCCGCCGTGGGCAGGAAGAAGCGGCAGCATGCAGGTAAGGGGCAGGAGTGGGGAAGGCCAGGCCATGTGGTGAGTGGGTCACTGTCAGCAGGAGGGATGCCATAGTTTGGGTTGAGAGGACGAAGGACAGCCTGACAGAGAGCCAGGGGACTCAGTGTTGTCCTTGCTCCCAGTCACCCCCGTTGGAGCCCTAGATCTGGGGTGTGTTGATGGTTCTCCTTTTCGGGAAGCTGACACAGCAGAGACTGCACAGGAGACGGGTCCCTGAATTCTCTTGGGCTGTTTTATTAGGTGGGGGAAAAGGGGTGTTACTGCCCCTCTCTCTTCCCACACGTTGCCTTCTGTCAGGGGGGCAGGTCCTGGTGTCCACAGGCTTCTGGGCTCAGTCATGGGTGGCCCTGCAGCACACAGTGGGGGCTTTGTCAGGTGCTCATAGGTGAGTGCATGTACACGGGTTGTCCCTCTACTGTGTCCATGTTTGTATCACTGAACCCTCACCCCACCCTTTCTCTCCCCTTTCTTGCTCTCCTCTACTCCCCATCTTCCCCTCACCCCAGGCATGTTCAGCATCTCCCAGATGAAGAACCGGCCCATGATCCTCATCGGTGGGTGACCCAGCAGTACGTAACCACTCACCCTTGTCATTGGGGGTTCCTGTGGGGTGGGGCTCCTGCCATGAGGCACCCCTAGATCCTGCATTTCATCCTGATGTTCTCAGCCTTATTTTTCTTGTTCTTCCTTTATCCTTTCATACCCCTCCATGCCTTTACTGCTTCTGTTCTCCCCTGTGCACGGCTCCCCCTCACTAAACCTGCCACAAAAATAATCATTCAATCTCACCAGAAATTGGGGTGCGGCCCTTTAGATTTAATGATCACTAAGTTGTTCTCTGAATATAGAACTGCTGGTTAAGACAGAGACCCTGTCCTCAGCTCTAGAATGTCCCAGCTTGGGTACAGTACCCCTACATAGCATGGGCCTGCTCAGGGTGCATCTGGATCACTAGCAGCCATTGGGCAATGTGTTCCAAGCTTCTGTGTGGGGTCGAGCTTGAGGCAGCAAGCTAAGGATGCTACTCTTCTTCTCAGGGAGGACACAGCCATGGCCTCTACTTCCTAGTTCCCTAACTCCCAGAGACCTAAGAGATTAGGACATCTCTCGTTATGAAGGATGCTTCAGACAAAAACATCTTTGTCACAGGGCTGTGGTCTCGTGCCTGGGGAACAGGCTGGGCTGTGAGGAGCATCAGGGATGCTGTTACCCTCTGGCACAAGGCCCAGACTAGAGCAGGGCATCCTCGCCTCCTTGGCCACAGCGAGACCTGGGCCCCTGGATTGTACCACTAGGCAAGAGAAAGCAGTGAGAAAAACTAGGGGAACGGATACTTTTCTGCAGAGGCTGGAGCAGAGTTAGCCCACAACACAGAAGGGAGTAGGCTGCAGTGGGGCAGACAGCCCAGGGACCACCCTTCCACATTAGCCACCCAGAGAAGGAAAGGCCGCTCACCAGAGAGCTCCACTGGGAAGCAAACTTGATCATCTCTTGTCCCCCACCTCCAGCGTCATAGTCCTCTTTTGGGCCTTGAGCCACGCTGACACAGCTTGGTAGCAAGGAGTGGGGGATGCCTTGACGGCCTTCTTAGAAGAGAGCTTGTGCCTCTGACATTGACAAGGTAGGGGGTCCAGAGCATGATGGAAAGCTGGAAGTTGGGAGACCTGTTTGGCTTCACAAGGTATATGGTTACTCTGCAGGATATAGAATAACTAGTCTGGTTTCTAGAAACCAAGAGGGCCTCTCTGGATTTCATGAATCATTGGGGGTTTTGTTATGTCAGATGCAGATTTGGGAGGCCTGAGTGGGATTCTGCTTCTCTAACAGTTCTCAGGTGGTGCTTGGTGCTGCTGGTCCGTAGACCACCCTTTGAGTGACAAGAGCCTGTGAGGTTCCTGAGGCCCTCAGGACTGTTGGAATTTGCCTGTCGTTTTGTATGCACCTCTGATGTGCTTGAGGAGGCTTGAAAGACATTGTTTAATAGAATAAATATTTCCATTAGTAGCTAGTCTATCAATGATATGATTACTATTAACTGGTCATAGAGAATGTGAAGATGAGAGTACCCATAATTGCTAATTCAGGCTGGGACCTCACTGTAGTTTTCTTTTAAGAAAATGGAGAGACATGGGGAGGTCACCTGATCCAGGCTTCAGTCTTCAGACCTTAGGTGTTTCTCCCTTTTTTAAATTTTTTTTTAAATTTATTTACTTACTTATATAGAAAGGGGAAGGGAGGGAGAAAGAGGAAGAGGAACATTAATGTGAAAAATATCAATTGGTTGCCTCTCATATACGCCCCAACCAGGGACTGAACCTGCAACCCAGGCCTGTGCTCTGACTAGGAATCTAACTGATGGCCTTTCACTTTGCGAGATGACAGCCAACTGAGCCACACCAACCAAGGCTGGGTGTTTCTTAGGAGAATTTTGGCAACAAAGTCTTTGTGAGGAGGGCAGTCCATGTACCTCCCACACCACCACTACAGGACAGTCAGGAACTGGTGGCACTGTTTGTCTGGTGTAGCACCTGATAAGGGCTGTACATTTGTGTTCTGGGGACCCTCCATCTGTGTACCTTCTGTTTCATCTCTTCTTGCTTTGCTTTTTGTCCTTCATTCCTCTTTCCCCAGTGTGGAAGAGAGTAGTTCAGGTGGGTTAAGGAAATGTTTGGGAGAAGAGGTGAGAAAAAGGATGACCTTTTGGACTAAGTGTTTCTTCTCTTTCCTTCTTGCCTTCCAGAATTATTTTTGATGCTCCAAGATTCCCCACCAGCCCTTCCAAACACTTCCTCTTGGGACCCATTCGGCATTCAGGGTCTGAGACACGGACTGAGTGTCTCCAACCAGGTGTCAACTTTGTGGAAACGATGCCCGATCCCCCAGACCCCTTCCCTTGCCCAACGGCAGCTGGCGCCTGGCTCCCCTCAGAGACACTACAGTTCCCATGCAGACTCAGACACCAACCCAAAGTGCCTTAGCCCCATGTCCCGGGCTTCTGCCAGCCACTCAGGAACCCTGCCAACCTCGAACCAACTGACCCACGTGGACACAGAAGGACGAGCAGCTATGGTAGATGTGGGTAGTAAGCCAGACACGGAGCGGGTGGCCGTGGCCTCCGCCATGGTTCTCCTGGGGCCTGTGGCCTTCAAACTCGTCCAAGAGAACCAGCTAAAGAAGGGAGATGCCCTGGTGGTGGCCCAGCTGGCTGGAATCCAGGCAGCCAAGTTGACCAGCCAGCTGATTCCTCTGTGCCACCACGTGGCCCTGAGCCATGTCCAGGTGCGACTGGAGCTGGACAACACATGCCATGCTGTGATGATCCAGGCATCTTGCCGGGCCCAGGGCCCCACTGGGGTGGAAATGGAGGCCCTGACCTCAGCTGCTGTGGCTGCCCTCACCCTGTATGACATGTGCAAGGCTGTCAGCAGGGACATCGTATTGGGGGAGATCAAGCTCATTAGCAAGACTGGAGGTCAGCGGGGGGACTACCATCGGACTTAGAGCTCCTGCCCCTTCTTACCCATGGCCCAGATGTGTCAAGAGATGGGATGCAATTTGGGTGGAGGGAAAGATGTCAAGTTGCTTGAACTCCGTCACTGTTCACCTTCACCAGTAGGAACCCCAGGTCAGCCCACTCCCTTACTGCTAGAGAACCTAGGTGACCTGTGATGCTTCCTTTATTCAGACAGGAAACCAGCAGGCCCTCCAGCCTTTCTGGTCATCGGAGGGGTCACAATGAGCAATACTAGATAACAAAAAATCAGTTGCGTTATCTGTGAACTATTTCAGACAACCAGTTTCAGAGAGTTGCACCCATATTTTCCACTACTCGTTTTGGGTTTTCTCTTGCTGCTCCCCTGGGAAGAGGATAAGGGCTCACAAAGCAGAGGAACCCGCTTTGAGGTGGGAAAGCACAGCTTGCATTAAGAATGTATGACTATTCTTCAGCAGCTTTGCCTGCCAAGTCTGGAGCCACAGCCTTGCCCCTCTGCCCTCCATCCTCAGAGAGTCTGGGTCCCTTCAAACTTGCAGGCTTTGGGTTTAACAACTGCATGTCCTGGCTGCTCCATCGCCTCCACCCCCTCCTCTAATAGCAGACACATGTGGGCTGCAGCCCTGAGGACCTCCGATCAGCGCTCATGCCACACATGGCCCAGTGCACTGCTGTTCCACCTACTGCCCAACCCTTTACTCTGGGACATATCAGGGAAAGAAGAGAGTTGAAGATTGCCTTCACTCGTACAGCGCACAAAATAAAGCCTCAATGCCACCTTTGGAGATGCAAGAGTAAGGACTGTATCTGTGCACAGGGTACCCTGCTGCCAGGATTTCATGCCCACCCCTCAACCTCATCCCAAAGCCCACTCCCGTGGGGAAAAGGAGTAGGAGAGACACTGGAAAGGCTGGAGGGGCATACCTTCTGTATACCCCCACCTTCCCTGTGGGAGAAGGTGGAAGGGGAGTGCAGTTACAGGTTCAGCATTAGAGGGGAGGCATGGAAATGCACTGTCTACAGTAAAATGGTCAGGTAGGGGTGTCCAAAGCTCATCACTGGCTATTAGAGACTAGGGAGTGCAATTAGAGGTTCCTGTGTTTCACCCGCCTGCCCCACCCCACCCCAAGCACTGGACTTGTTTGCTGGGTTCTTTAACATGGATAGGCTTCCTTGAGTCTATCTATAGGGACACCCTCTGCCCTATACCCAGGTGTACTGGTGAATGTTTAACAACCAGCTCTCAGCAAAAGAAAAGACCAAGTTCCAAGGAGGCTGATTTCAAGCTACAGTACCACATAAACTTGTTTGCAGAATTCAGAAAAATGCCACAATTGTGCTTTCAGGGCTGGTAGGAGCTGGCTCCAACACACCACCAGCTGTACCTGGTGCCCAGCACACCTCAAGCTCCCTCAGGGGAAGAAAGCACAAGTTCCAAGGCAGACTGGGGGGATGGTATGGATTTAATATTTTTTAGTATTACAATATATTCTTATAAAAAAGGTGCAGGTAGAAAGGACATTGCCGATTTTATACATTAGCCTCATTTGTCTTCTGAGACAGCTGGTGAGAACAGCCTTGGCATGAAGGTGTCCCTGGTACAGGTGGGCAGATGGTCGCAGCTCCCCCATTGGTGGGAACAAGATGGGGTGGGGAGAGCCTGGACTAGCCCCTTCTCCAACCACTCGGAGAATTTTCTCCGCCTACTGCCCTACACATACCTTACTTCCATCATGGGAGAATGAGTGGGTGCTGTAGCTGAGAAGGGAGCGAGTTGCATTAGGTTAACTGGATTTTACATCAGACACACAATTAATAGGAGAAATTCAGACTGGCAGGAAGGGTGGGGAGGTCACTGGGAAAAGCCCAAGGAAGAAACAGGTGTAAACATGTAGTGTATCAAGGACCCACTCAGCTGTCTCTATGGGGCACTAGCCCCTTGCCGAGTCAGCCACAATGGTCCATGGTCCAAGGCACTCTTGGAGACCTGGCCACAATGGTGTCTGGTGCCAGAGCCACTGGCCAGATCTTGAAAATAATAGAGAAGAAATATCTTTAGGCGGGAGAAGCCAGAGCCCTAGAAGAATGTATGTGTCCTCTGTAAACAGTTAAGCCAACTGCTTTTCTGCGGATCCAATGTGTCTTGAACAGCTTGCATATTCCTTGTCTTTCATGGCACATATCCAGGCTTCCCTGGTGGATGGAAATGCCAGGATTTGGACAGGCCTGTTGGATAGGAGTGGAGCCCTCCCCTGTTCCCTGCCCCTGTGGATGAGGTTGATACCAGACAGCTGGGGAGAGGGTGTTCAGAGACCCCACCCACGACCTTCCCATCATTCCAATACCAGCCTCTTGCAGCAAGGGCTTTTGGGTATACAGATGGGTATAACAGCTCTGCAGCTGCTTTTCGTAGAAGCTTCATCTTGCCCTTGCCTGGGCTCCAGGATGGCCTCTTCACATGTCCTGGCCAGACTGCTTTTGCTCAGATCCTTCCCCCTCTAACCAACACACATGCTGGGCTTACCAACCTTGTTTCTTCCCTGGAAGCTACTATGGCCCCACCCCCAGGAATCTGGTGTAGGAAAAAGACAGGCAGCTGAAGACTGGGCCCAGCCCACCAGCCTGTCCACTGGCAATAGCTCTGAGCCAGAGGAGCATGTTGGAAGGTAAGAAACATAAAGGGAGGGGCAGAAGGATGGAAGGGCAAGAAACCCTTGGATGAGGGTTCAGGCAGGTAGACAGGATGAAAGGTCAATTCCAGGGGGAGAAAATGTACTGAAAATAAGAGCTTTGATGGAGTTGACCTCACCTCCTTTCTTTTAGAAGACAGAACACTTTGTTTAGGTGAAGCCATCGACCCACCTGCTCAAGATGGACAGGATGGAAAATGGGAATGGACAGTGGAAGATGAATAGAATGGAAGGTGGGAGTGAAGATGAGGACCAGAATGGGCCCCTTGAAAGTCAGGTTGAAGAACCAAAGGTACTAATGATGGTAGCAGGACTTCCCCAGCCACTCCACCCCACCTTGTCTCTTTCAGGCAGTGCACTTCCCAGGGAGGTAGGCCTTCCTCCTGTTCCCCATCCAACATCCCCTTAGCTTCCCAGCCTTCTCTGGCCCAAGTCTGAATGCCTTAGGGGAGGAAACATCCTCTGAGATGGCATGTAAATGCAGAGGGCAGCACTGGCCCTTGGGACCCTCTCAGGAACCAGCACCCCAGCACCAGCCTCAGCCAGATAGGCACACATGGTTTGAGGTCTACATGCTGGAGAGAGTGGAGGTCACTATGGTTTCTGCCCTGAGGCAGACGTCAGACAGTCTGGGGTCTGAGTAATGTAATGTGGTACACTAGAAAGCTCTGGGGTGGGGCTAGGCATTCAACTGCTGCCCTTTGGTGAAGGGCTGCCAGGACCTCCTAGCCAATATGTGAGGTCACCATCTTGCCTCAAGACCATGGTCCATGGAAGGTGGGAAGAGAGTTTTGTTCCAGGATCCCTGTGCCCAAGGCATGGGGTATGGTGATGAGCAGAGTCTTTGTTCAAACCCCTCCCTTACCAGATGCATCTAATACCTGATAGTGAGCCATAGTTGTGGGAACCCAAAGGTGGGTTTTCTGGGATTCTGGATTAGTAGATAGAATAGAGGTGGCAGTAGGGAAGGAAGGGAGAGAATGAAGACATGCAAGAGAGGCTTCAATGAGTTGTGACAGAGGAAATAGGCACTGGTACTCTGTGTCCTGATGACTTGGTCCCTGCATCATCCTCCCAGCATCTTCTTTTCCTGGAATCTATCTAGCTATATAATGCTTCTTCCTTTGCCATCAAGACAAAAGTTGGTTCCCAGATCAATGTTCCATTAAGCTGTCTCTTGAGGTATAAGGGCCTGGATTCTTTCCCCCTGGCTCACAGGGCTCCCACCCCACAGATACTGCCCACTGCACATGACATCTGGACAAGATGCATGGACCTGTCCAGTCTAGATCTCAAAGAGTCCTGTGCCAATGTGTGGGTACCCATGCTGGGGGTGGGTAGCAAGGCCCCTCAGCTAAGCCTGCCAAGGATGTCCACATCAGCCTCAGACAGTGACCCCTGGGGGCTGGGGAGCAGAAAGTAATGGGGAGAGGAGAGGAGAGGAGAGAGGAGCCTCTTCAGGTACATGTGGGAGACATCTGGTCCTGCCTCACACAGTCCCCACCCCAGGACCCAGCCCAGGGCTCCAAACCGAGCACCACGGGGTTTATGTATCCCAGCCTCCTCCACTCAGCTGCTCTGGTCCATCCCTGTCTGCTGGCCCCCTGCTGTGGCCAGTGCCCAGGTCAATAATTTAGCCTGTTTATTGCCCGTTCCCGGGTGACTTCTAGAGCCTGGCCCCCTGGCCGCTTGCGGCTGCGCTTGAGCTTGCATAAGTCCTTGTCGAAAACCTCTCCGGAGCGCAGGGCCGACACCAGGTCGTCGAACTCGCCCCCCTCCTCCAGTGCGCTGCCTGCGTGCACCTTCCGCTGCCGCTGCCACCGCTCCCGCTCCCTCTGCTCCTTCAGCTGCAAGGGTGAGGAGGGAGAGATGGGCTGAGGCCAGAGCAGCCACCTGTAATCTCACTTATAAACCAGTGTCCTCCCAGCCAGGGGCTAACTCCTGGGCTGTGCACCTTGGTGCTGGTGTTCATCACCTGGCCCCACTCTCCTCCTCCCTGATGGCCTGTGCCTGCCCAGCTCACATGCTCTCCCCTCAGGCCAGGAAGACCACTCTCCCCCATTAGGGTTGGCATCAGCCCCTACAGTGTTTCTCAGGCCCTGCCCTCCTCACACACACCCAACCACTGGGACCTGCCTCTCTCCCTTCAGGCCCTGCCCACCCTCACCATGGCTTCCATGCGTGCCCGTCGCTCCTCCTCCTCCTTCCTCCTCCTCATGGCCTCCAGGTCCTGCCGGGCCTCTGAGAAGGCCTGAAGGAAGGTGTCAAAGATGCCAAAGAATTCGTCCGGCTGCATCTTGCTGTCCTGCTCCCCAAAGTGCATCAGGGCCTTGGAGAACTATTGTGGGGGAAAGGAATGTTGGAGGGTCCCCCCTGAGCACCACAGGCCTAGACCACATGGTTAGCTGAGTGCCAACCAGGACAGAGCCCAGCCCAAGAGTGGGGGACTTTGGTATGGAGTCAGGGCTGGAGAAGGGGAGACCTCCATTATCATCAGGGCGAGGGCAAGGCGGAGGGGAAGCGTGTAGGCATACATCCTGGGACATGGGGATCCAAGCTGGCCAATGAGGGTGCCCAGAGCCACTTCTGGGTCTGTTATGGTTTGGGTATGGGATCTGGGGCTACAGACCTTGGGAAGCAACTGCCTGGTCAGAACTCCAGAAGACTTCAGAGATCATATGTTTATTGGGCTAACTATTTAACCTTTCTATGCCTGTTTTCTCATCTGTAAATGGGGATAATAATAGAACCTACTTCATAGTGTTGTTGTGGGCATTAAACCAGTTAATAGATGTAAAGTGCCAGCTATCATTATATGTGCCAGGCACTCACTGTTCTCTAACGAGAGCCACCATCTCTAAACCACTCAAAGTCCTCTAAGAAAGACCTTATTACGCAAAGTGCACTCCATGGACCAGCATGGGTATGCCCTTGGAGCTTATTAGAAGTGCTGAACCACAGGCCCCATTCCAAACACCTGAAGGAGGATGACATTTTACTAAGACTCCCACAGATGAGGTTGATGTGCATATTAGTGTGAGAAGCAGGAAGACAGCAACTGAGACCAAAGCACCAGGATTCTAACCCAGCTCTGTCTGTCACAGCTGGGAAACCTGGGCTAGTTAGTTACTTAACCACTCTGGATCTCAGTGCACATAGCTGTCAAAAGAGCTAATAACCTTTCAACAAACCTAAAAAGTAGGCAATAAGACAGCACTTAATGTGGTGCCTGACACCTGATGAATGGACTATGATTTTTACATCAGAGTTGCTATTGCCTTTCTTGTAGGAGTAAAGTAACAGTTACTCCTCAAAGCTTGGGCCATCTGGTAGGAATGGGAGAAGGAACTGTCTACTTAAGGCTGGACTGGAGAGGAATGGGGCCGGGTTAGGCTGAGGGTGAGAGGAGGCTTAGGACACCACCCTCACCTTGTCTCTGGCTTCATTCAGCTGGTCTTCCAGATCTGAGAAGCTAAAGCTGGAAACTGTGATAAAGTCACTCATGACTGGGACAAACTTGTCGTTTGGTTCTCGTAGCTGGCGTTTCTGATATTCCAGCTCCTGAGGATGGAGAGAAAAGTGCTGGTTAGATGTGTGCTAAGATCAAAGTTGGGAATTCTGGGGTCGCCACACTGCCCACCTTCTTGTCAATCACAGGACACTGAGCCTTCCTTTGGAAGGGGGAATGCTCCAGGTGTCACCATTTCAAGGGCGGTGAAGATTGTGAGAGCCATCAACCAGCCCACCTGCCTATATCCTTCCCTAGCCCACCCTGCCATCCTTCTCCAGATCCTTGCTACCCAAAGTGTGTCCTGCTACCAGCAGCATTAGCATCACCTGGGCAATTTGAAGAAAGAGAGACTCTCGGGCCCCACCCCATACCTGTGGAATCAGAATCTGCATTTTAACAAGACCCTCAGGTGGTCTGTGTGCAGATGCATTTCCAAATCTCCTTGCTGATGCTGCCGGTCCGGGGTCCACACTTTGGGACTTACTTCATAAACTGGCAATCATCCTCTGCCCCACCCCCATCACCATGGTAATGAAAGGTTGTTTCTCATATTTAACTTCAGTTTCTAAGCTCATTTTCTCCTTACCTGCCTAACATCTCCACCCCACCCCACTCCCATACACACACACACTCAGTGAAGATGGGAAAGAACTCTAGTTTTCCAGCCTAGCTTAGGGCCAGGGGTAGTAGCATCTCAGAAGCCATCAGAGCAGGAATGGTGGCAACCAGAGACCTGGGTTTCCAGCCAAATGTGCAGCCCCTGGCTCCTCTACTGGCCCAGGAGGAGGTAAAGAGACATCAGGCAGGAACTCCTGGGTATACCAGTCCCCAGTGTCACACTATAAACTACCTGCCCCTACCCAGCTCCCAAAGGATGTGGGTCCTCTCTTCCATCTACTGGAATCAAACTTAAGCATGTGTCTCATTTACAGTTCATTCCACTCCACTGCCCAGCAGACATGTTGGACAGTGATCTGGTTAGTCTCAATGTCCCTCTTTGAGAGACTAAATTTAAACCCCACATAATCCAGTCATCCTTCCCTGAGGGCTGACTCTGTTAGAGGCTATACCCATTTTTCTATCACCTCAACCAGAAGCTTTGGGCCAGGAATGCACCTGCTGCCTGGGGGCCCATCACCTGACCCAGTGTTGCTGACAGCATCACCTCACACCCAGGCAGACAGAGATGATGTACTCACCACCTCAACCGCTCTGAGGCCCTTCCTGAGGTTGCCCACCTCCTTCTCCAGCTCTACCAGGCTGTAGGAGGACACAGAGGGAGAGAAAGGAGCTGAGGATGGTCCAGGGATAGGGCAAATCAAAGCCCAGTGGCCTGGGGGTCAGTGACCTGTGCTCCAACCCTGCACTGGCCACTAACATGGCAAATCACCTCCCCTCCATGCTCTGTCTGTGCTTCTATAAAGTGGCAGGGGTGAAACTTATGTCCTATAGATTCTTGGAGATCAGAAATGCCATGCTGCATATTAGAAAGTTTCTAACACATAGCCTCTGTCTTAGATTTATTTATTTTTTACCACCAGGTAATACTTACTTATAAGCTCTTAACTTACAAGTATTATACTTGTATGCAGGAAGCATTTGATGCATGTTAGCCATTTACCAATGCATTTTTCTTCTATTGGAGATGCTTCTATTGGAGATGCTTCTATCAGTCTATGTATGTTCAGGTCTGACTTCTTGCATGGAGCAGATACCATTGCTGCCCCACCCATATCTCCATCCCTTGTAGTGTGCAGTCCTGACTTCCAACTGTGTGGGTACTTTTTCTAGGGGCTCAATAGTAATGCCCCACTCCGTGAACCAGTTGACTGGTTCAACTGAACTTAGCCAGTGACTGGCAGGAGATGGTATATGATGTCTCAGCTTTCTCACCCCTTGGGTAAAATAAGAGTGTCCTTACACTGTTTCCCACACTTCCTTGGAGGGGTGGAGCTCCAGGTGCCCACCCCACTCTGTTTCCTGGAAGCATCTCTGAAATAAGGATTGGAGAGCAAATTATCTGTCTTCATTTGGCAGACCCCGAGGTGCTACCTTTTCCTATTCAGCCCTGAGCAACCCCAATGGAGGACACTCAGATAAGAGTATGAGTGAACACAGCAGGAAGGAAGCCTCAGAGGAATCTCTCACTTGACTTTGGCGGCTTCTGGAAGATGCTGCAGCTCTGAGGGCATGTTCAGGATGTCAGGAAAATGCTTCTCTAGGATCATGATCAGATAATGGAGCAGAGAGATGTTTCTGTGGATGAAAGTCAGGTCATGGGTAAGGGAATGAGGGTCAGCAGGAAACTAAGGTGAAGTGCTAGGGGAAAGAGGCCTTGGGTTGGGTTGGAAGTGGAGGGAGAGTAAAAGGGAGGAGGAGAGAGTCCAGGTAGGGTGTGATGGAGGCTAAGGAAGTGGGCAGGGTCCCACCTGTCAATGCTGGACTTGGTGTCGACGATCTTGTTGAGGCTGGCCACTCGGAACCCATAGGCACCCCCACGCTGCCCTTTGTTCATGAAGTTACCAATGGCCAGGACGACCTCTAGCATCTGTTTTAGACGCTTGCTGCGGATCAGCTCCTGGGAGGCCAGCAGTATGGCTGGGAGAGGAGGAACAGGTCAGATCCCTACATAGACTAGGCCAGAGCCGCTGGTCCTCTTGCACCCCAGGAGGTTGCCACCACAAAGTCTAGAAAAGGGGTCGCAAGTGTCTTAAGCTCTCAGAGGGGCAGAGACTATGCCCCCATCCCCTCAGGCCAGTCTACTCCACACCTGCCCACCTCCAGGGGAAGAAACAAACTCACCAAAAGCCAATTTGCCCAATAACTAATTCTCAGAATGTGCCAACTCTTCCTAAGAATGTATCTGAGAATATCTTTTCTTATATTTATTTAAAGACCATTATATATTCCATAATTATTTTTATTAAATAATAAGTATTTGTTATTTAATAAAATAATATGTTTTATTATTTATTTATATTTATAAATTTATAAATTTATTTAGGCATATATTGAAATATATACTAAAATATATTTAAAGATTATATATTAAAATATATTTAAAGATTATTAATACAGTCTTTCTATTGATATATGTAAGAATATACTACTTTTCTAAACTTTAGTGATTAAAGTTTAAATTTCAGCATTTTACATATTATGGGACTGTTTCCAACTCTTTTGAAATGCTGAATTCTATTGGTTTATTTTGGAAAGAAAAAAATTCCTGTCAAATTAAACTATAACATGTCACCAACTGTAATATTCCCACATTATTTTTGTTCTATAAGATAATGGTGTGCTTTATAATTGATGGTGTCTTTGAAAATGACATCCTGTTGAATGTCATTTTTAAAATTTTTCCAACCTTTAGGTATTTTAGCCACTTTCTTCCCATGTCTTAAATAATGCATTTGCTGGAAATACAAATTAAGCTAACAATAACTCAAACTTCAGTATTTAATTTTAATGTGGATGCTCTGGCCTTTCCTCAACTATTACGTATTTATAGCAGATGTGTGGAATAAGGAGACAAATCCTACACTGAAAATCTGGATATTAGTTATGGAATGTGCCTTTTGATTATTAAATGTGGTGATAAGAAGACCAAACTATTCTATAATCTTTGGCTTACGCCAAACTGAACATTCCTTAAGATGCTGCTATGAAGATAAAATGAGAACCAATTGACTAAATATTTGCAGAAATCTTCAAGACAATTAAAAATAAGTAATTGTAAAAAAAGCTGTAAAAGTGAGTATTAAGGAAAGTTTGTCAGTGGTTTCTAAAGTTGAACGTGTGCATATTCCAATATTCTATGACCAATGGTATACTTGATGGGTATTTGAGTGGTTCCTAGTTATTTTTCCCTTAAATTATATACAAATAGACTGGTTAAATAATTTGTGGTATATTCATAAATGGAATAAAATGCAGCATTGAGAATGAATAATCCACTGCTACACATAACAACAGAGATAACTCACAACCACAATGCTGAGCAACAGAAACAAGCACAAAATTATTCATACTCTATTTACATGAAATTCAAGACAGACAAAACCTCTGGAGAGGAGAGGAAAGTAATGATTGGGGGATGATGTTGGAGGGGGAACCTGAAGAAAAGGGCTTGAAACATTCTTGACCTGAGGTCAGTTATGTAGGTGAGTTCATTTCACCATAATTTGTCAAGTAAAACCCTTATGATTTGTGTACTTTCCCACCTGCATATTGCAATAAAAAGTTTACTTTAAAATAAAGCCACTTAAAAAAGTTTCCAGCCATTTTTATTGGTTTGGATAGTTTTTCTTTGGTTGACACACTATTTGAAAAATCTGCGACGTAATCATGCTGAAAATGCTAAAAATGTTGGCAAAACAGATGACAAGAGTTCAAAGGAAATCAGTGTAAATGGGAAAACTTACATATGCAGTACAGACACTTCCGATACATTCACAGGAACAATATACTCATGAATATATTCATAGGAGTATGTTTACACTTGACACCATACTCATCTTGACTATATTCAGTGAATGTATTCATAATGAGAATTGGTAAATTTGGTATATTCAAGCAGTAAACATATTCATAATAATATAGTAAAGAAAATCATGAATATATTTATAAAAGAATTGGTAAGTTTGTCAAATCTAGTGAATCGACTTCTGGCAAATTGACCCAGAGGGCCAGCCTGGGGACAGGGGTATGTGAGAGGGTGTCAAAAGTTCATCAACCAGTGGGGACAGGCCACAAATCTTAGCTCACCTGGGAATCTTTCCTTGGAGAACTAAAAGGAGGACTACGAACCCTGATTTCTGCACGATCCTCTCATCTCCACCCAGTCAAGCCCACTGGCCTGATTCAATCTCCTCTTCCCAACTCCCAAAGGAAAGAGACCCACAGACCCTTCTAGAACAGCAGCCATGCCATAGCAGAGCAGTGATGGCCTTCCCCAGATGGTTGTGCCATCAAAACACATCTTGCTCTGCTTAGCTTGATATTAAAGGTTGCCTATTCTCTGAGCATGCAGTGACTAACTCTTAGGGAAAGTTTAGGAGTGGGCTCCTGGGAATAGGAAATTATCTGAGAGTAAACCTAACTGGTGGCTAAACTACCGTGGTTTCACAGTGCCAAGTGACTATTGCTCATATTTGCTCCATGGACCCAAGACACACAAGTAGCTGAGCACATATGCCTTGGTCTGAACCCCTTAGCTGTGCCTCAGGCCCCAAGGACAATCAGCAGCAGGACAGAGAAAGCTGTGTGAAGGGAAGGATTCCCCTACAGGTGGGGCTGGAGGTGCCACCAGACCTCAGACCTGCAGTCACCGCTGACCTCTTTCCTTGTCGCTCATGTCACAGATCCTTCGCCCTCTGTGATCTCAGCCAGCCCGCAGTTCCCTTACTGCATGTGTGTGCGCGTGCATCAGGATCCAGATCACGGGAGACATCTGCATCTAGCTCTGCCAAGCTTCACCTATACCCAGAAACCTCCCTGAAGAAGCAGTTCGCAGAACTTCAGAAAGAGCCATTCTCTGAAGGGGGCATCCTGGGAGTGCTGGCCTGCCCTGGTGTCCAGCAGAGGGGGCCCATGCTGTCCCCCAGCCTGTCCCCCTCAGCATCCTGGACACAGGCTCCCTTGTTCCACTCTGCTGACCCTGTCCTCACCACAGATGAGCCTCACGGCCTCACCTGCATTCTCCCTCCTGACCATACGGCTTCCCACCATCCTGACCACCTGCCTTTCCCAACTCCCTGCCCCCCGCCTTCCGCCACCCTCTTGGAAGAACACCAAGGTGAGAGTGAAGGGATGGATTTTGAAGAACACAGGCACTACTCTGACTTCACCATGCACCAGTAACAAGGCCTCAGGCAGCATATCCTCATTTCAGAGATGAGAGAATAGATGCACCTACAGGGTTGTTGTGAAGATCGAGTGAGATCATCCACATGGAGTGTTTCACACAGCACTTGGCACATGATCCTCACTTAACAACAACACGCTCATCTGGAAATGGCCTGTTTAGGAGGAGGTTCAGCCCCCCTTACCCATGGGGGGTACATTGCAAAACCCCCAGTGGATGCCTGAAACAGTGATATACTGAACCCTATATATACTATGTTTTTCCTATATGTACATACCTATGATACAGTTTAATTTATACATTAGGCACAGTAAGAGATGAACAATAACTAATAATAAATTAGGACAACTATAGCAATATACTATAATGCAAGTTAAGTGAACACGGTCTCTCTCTGTCTGATAACTGATGTAATAACAGCAACGTCTACTAAGTGACTCACGAGCAGGGAGCATATAAGCGTGGACGTGCTTGACAAAGGCATGATTCACAGCCCCAGGTGGGATGGAGCAGGACAGCATGAGACTTCCTCATGCCACTCAGAACGGTGCACAATTTAAGTTTATGAACTGTCTATTTCTGCAATCTTCCATTTAATATTTTTGGGCCATGGCTGACCACGGGTAACCATGGAAAGTGAAAATGCGAATAAGGGGGAATTATTGTGTCACCATTTTCTTGCATATCTGTCCCACGCTAGGGCAGCTGCCAACAGATCCCCCGCTTTAGAAAGTCTGCATGCTGAGGCGTGGAAACTGTGTCTGTGTTTGGCATGTGTGCTAATATAAAGTGCATATATCTACAGTAATCATCATTTTAAATTTTGTCCTTGATTTTGGTTTTGCAGGGGGGTTTCCTCTGCCCTTGTTCCGGGAGTCCCTGCCTGGCCTCCCCCAATGCCTCTCCTCTCCAGGCTTCCTCCACTCCCGCAGCCGTACCTTCCACTTTGGGCTTGGCCTCGGCCAGCCGCTCCTGGAACTTCTTCTTAAAGAAGAGGGCCTGCAGCCGCTGCTGGTAGTGGTCGATCCTGTGGACAGGGTGAGCCACGTCATGAGGCAGCCCCCTCCAGTCCCAGCCCCAGGAGCCAGCTCCAGCCCCGTCCTCCACCTGCCCGCCCCGACCCCTCCTGCTGCACTGGATGCCCCAACCTGCTCATTTCATAGAGGAAGCGGTCAGCGCGGGCCATCCGCTCGATCTCATGCTTGTGCTCCTCAAGGAGGTCGATGTCACTCTTCTCTGGGATGAACTTGAGGAGCTGCAAAGAGCAGTGAAGGTCAGACAGGAAGCTGGTGGGGAACTGATATGGTAGAGCACACAGAAGCCCACACACTCACGAGGCTCGAGATGGGGAGGCGTCCCCTTAAAAGGCAGAGGCACCCTCGTGTGGACTGCTTGCATTTCAGCTGCCTGAAACGGATGACAGGGCGCCCAGCTCTAGACTGCTTTCTCTCTCTTTTTTAAAAAAAATTTTTAAATGAAGAAATAACTTACATACAGTAAAGTACATTATTCTTAAGCATATACCCAGTGCCTTTCTTCTTTTTAAAACCTTTATTGAAGTTTTATTTATATAAAATACATCCACTTCAAATGTGCAGTTCAATGACTTTTACAAAACCATCTACCACCAACCAGACAAGATACAGAAGAGTTCCACCCTGTCAGAAAGTTCCCTCGTGTCACTTTGATCAGCTAACCCACCCCCTCCCTCCCATGTATAGCCTCTCGACTGAATTTTATCACCTTGGAGTTGACTTGCCTATTCTTGAACTTCTTTTTTTTTTTAATCATTGTTCAAGTACAGTTTTCTTCCTTTTACTCCCAGTCCAGCCCACCCACTCAACCCTCCCTACTTCTCTCCCATTACCACCCTCCCCCTAGTTTTTGTCCATGTGTCCTTTAAATTTGTTCCTGTAAACCCTTCCCCTTTTCCCCTGAAATTCTCTCTTCTCTCCCCTCTGGTCACTGCCAGCCTGTCCTCTATTTCAGTGTATTTTGTTATATTTTGCTTATTTCTTCTTATAAATGGACTCAGGGTGTCTGTCCCTTTGGTGTCTACCTTATTTCACTCAATGTCTGAGATTCATTCATGTTGTAAGTTTTGATAGATTCTTTTGTTCATTGCTAAGTAGTATTCTACTGTAGTAATATATAACACACAGTCTATTTATTTGCTTTTCTATTCATAGACAGTTGGGTTGTTCACAGTTTGGGTGTCTGAGTGTATACTTAGGAGTGGGACTGCTGGGCAATTGGGTAAGCGTACTCGTATGTGTGGCCTTAGTGTGCAATGCTAATTTATTTTCCAAAATAATTGTACCAAATGAGAATTCCAATCACCTCACTTCCTAACCAACACTTGGAATTGTCAGTCTTTTCAATCTTAGCTATTCTGGTTCTAATCTTAGAACAGGTATTCACACACCTATTTCTACCATATTTCTCTGATGACTAATAGGAATGAGCCATTTAGGAATTCTTTTTCAGGAGGTACTTGTTCAAATTTTTTGCTCATTTTTAAGTGCAGTTGTTTGTCATTTTCTCGCTGATTTGTAGTATTCTTTATTCTGAATCTGAGATCTTTGCTGGATATATGTAAGGAAGATATCTTGTAAAGTTTGGCTTTCTCTTCACTCTTGTAATAGTACTTTTTGGTAAAAAGAGTTCACAGTTTTAATGAAGTCCAATTACTGATGGTTTTATCTCATGTTTTCTAGGTGTCTCTTGAAGGACACAGCAAATTGAAGTGCAAGTAACTTGGGGAAGATATGATTATGGGTCACTCTGACTTTGCCTTGAGACCCATGGGACTCCTTTCAGGGCCTCAATTCCCTGGAAAAGATGCAGCCTTTCCTGGCCTCCCCTCAGAAAGGTTGGCCCAGCAGAGTTTCCATACACCTCGCCCCAACTTTTCCAGCTTCTAGTCTGAGTTCTCAGTGACCTCTTGGCCTGTCTGGGAGCTGTTAGGGGGCACTGCCCCCTAATTTCAGCTGCCCTCCCCTTGAGGGGCCTCACCTGTTCCAGCATGTCCTTGGCAAGGTCCTCCTGCTCATCCATCTTCAAGACGGCCTGCCGGATCTCCTCGTTAGACAGCTTCAGCCTAAGGCAAAAGCCTACCCTGAGCAGCCTGGCCTGGGCCCTCTGCTCAGAACAGAACCCAGACCTTTTCTCTCCCTCATGTGAATGTGGAAGCACATTTGAGAGTCCTCCTCCTCAGCTCTTCTGCAAAGCCTCCTCACACTAAACTAATTTGGTTCACCCCATAAACTCAACGATGAGGTATTTTAGTCCCTAAATAAAGACCTGAGTCTCTGGTCTGGTGCCTGAGTCTCCATCAGAGATGACAGAGAGCTTTGGGAGTAAAAGAGCCGTCTTCATGTAGTCTGAGAGACACAGAAAGGAGTTTCCAATCTTCCTCCTTCCCCTCATGCCTAAAAGATCCGCAGCAACTCCCTGGGAGGGTGGGAGTACTGGCAGTTCTAAGAAGGCAGCTTCCTGCTTCCTTCATTCTCAGAAAGCAGAATAGCTCTCAGTCTGTGACAGCACCCCAGCTCCCACACAGCTGTTCCAGTCCCTCTTGCTGTCCGGGGAGTGGGGGAGAAGCCGTGCCCCTGACACACACATGAACACACAAACACACACCTTTTCTGTCCCCTCCAGATGCACAGCCAATGGGACCCCTGGAGGTACAGACCTCTCCCCCACCATCAAGGAAGAGAAACTGAGGCCTTGGGGCCTTGTGGGAGGAAAGGGGGTGGTTGTCCCAGAGGCAGCCAGGGCAGCACTAAGAATAGTCTGGGAGGCGGTGCCCTCTGACCCTGGCCCAGGCAGGAGGCCCCACACAGAAGCTTTGCTATTAGTGCAGATACTGCCCTGTTTGTTCTGCAGCCGTGGGAAATGCTTGGGGGCTGAGATCATGCTGCTCTGTGGCCTAAGCCTTGTGGGGCCCTCCATGGGCTTAGAGCAACTCTACTACCAGATGCTGACCAGGCTGGTCACAGGCCTCGAGACTGGGGCAGTTTCCTGTCTGCAGAGCCCCACACTGCTGCTCGACACGGGCTCACAGGGAGGGCTCTAGATTAGTGCCCCATCCCCTTTTCCAGAGGGCAGCAGAGAGGTGAGGCCAGAGACTGCTATCACCCTAGTCCTCGGGCACCTTATCTCCCCCAGGTATTCAAGTTAACCATCTTCTTCCAGTAGCCCCATCTCAGTCCTCTGCTTCCTGGGGGGCCCGTCCCCAGGAACATAACATGGGGCAGGGGACAAAAAGGCAGGGCCAGCATAAACATACTTGGAGAGAAGGATGATGCAGTTCTGAGCCCTCCGGCCGTCAATGACTGACAGCTCTTTGACCTTTCGGGAGGCCAGGTAGATGTCCTCAGTGGAGCCCAACTCTTTCTGCAACCAACAAGCCAGTTAGAAAGGTTGAGGTGTGTGTTCTTCCCAGTCCTCTACTTGCCCACTCCCTCCCACAAGTCACCTCCCTACCAACCAGACTGTGCTCCTGGTATAAGAGTAGAAAGGCAAAGAAAAAGACAGGAGGAAAAGGAGCACAGTGGTTAGTTACTGACCCTAATAGGAGGCATCTGGGACTTTACCATGGGCTAGAATGAGTTGGGGGGGCAACTCAACCCCCCTAGGATGAGGAGCCCCCCCCTTTTTAGAGATTGCCTTCTCTGGGCAAACTAGAGAAGGAGCTATTTTGATGGAGGGGATTTACTGATCCCTATGGCTCTAGGCAATGTGATATCTACACATTCCCGGGGAATCAACTCCCTCTCCCACCATCCCACCCAAACAGTCTCCCCAAACTTGTAAGAAGCTGGTTCTAAGTCCCCACAAGTCCATAGTTCTTGGACTCCAGGAGACTTCAGGCACAGCCCAATGTGCCCTAGGTAGAGGGCAACTACATGTTCAGGGGTGGAGAAACTGAGGCAGAATTCTATGTAGAATTCTCTCCTCTGAGATTTCAGTGGGCATATTCCCAATAAATCAAAGATACCCCCTGCCTTCTCTGGGGCCCCTGGTGAGGTAGACAGTGGCCAGCTCTTGCTCTGGGAGCTTCCTCCAAGTACATGCTCCATGTTGTACAACTGCAGGGCTGCTACTCATATCCTTACCTTCGGGAACTGTGTCCAGCCTGTGCAGTCTTACTGGCCAGCCTGGTGTTGGACCCCTCCCTTGTGTACAACAATAGACCTGGAAGCTTTCTCCTTACTCCAGTACACATTCACCTCCACTGCTGGCCAGGGTCTGTGAGCACTACCCACCTCCTATACTTCTGCCTTCTCTTTGGGAATTGACCCCTGCCCCTGGTGCCTCCCTGTATAGATGGGTAATATGGTGAAGGTAGAATGGACAGACCCATTCTTTTGGGCCCAGTACAGGGCAGCAGCCCAGGATAGTAGATAAAAGTTGGAGTGTCCAGAGCCCCATGAGTGACTCACCTGTTGGGAAGTATTAGTTATCAGCTCCTACGCAGGCAGCAGCCACAGCCAACAGAGAATTAAACATGCACAATGTTAGCCAAGAGGTACAGGGCAGGAATAGGAGAAGAGATGTAGGGACCCCTATCTTCTACTCTCCTCATGCCTAAAGGCATGCTCACCCCAGTGAGACCCCATGGCTGGAGATGGAGACCTATAAGCAGTGCCCAACAGGAGCTGCTTCTAGCAGACATGCACTCACAAGCCAAACAAAGCGGAGGACAGACAGCGTCTCCCACATACCCTGGGCACAGGGGGACCGCCCACCACTCCCCAGTCAGGGCAGACCAGGCCCCCAGTGCCCCATCCCAGGTCTCCCTCTCCTCTGCTGGGAATCTGCCCAGAGGGCAGAGGGTACTTCTCCACCCCATGAGTTCAACTTTCTCAACGGGGGAGGAGACACTGAGGCAAAGGAAAGCACCATATTCTGGAATTTTGCCCCTGGGCCCCTAGTCCTTGCCTGCCTTTGAATCTCTAAGGGGGGCTGCCGAGGAGACAGAGCTCTCACCTGGTTCTCCCTTCCTGACCCTGATGTGGCTGAAATCACTGAGTCAGGTCCTCCATTGAACAGAGAGAGAAGGCCCACAGCTGGAAGAACCTTCCTCCATCCCACAATCTAGGCCCCAGGCAGCAAGAGGGGGTGACCAAGGCTGCATGGCCTCCAAGATCTCTCTCCAGCTCTGTTGATGTGAATTCAGCCCCAGAGTCTGGGCAACCTCTGAGTGACAGTAGCCTGGGTGAGTGTTGCTGGACAGGGTACTGGACTAACTGGGCTCAGAGAGGCGAGGTGGGACAGGGGCTTTCCATCATAACTCTTCTCCACTCACCAAAGGGGGAGGTCCCAGATCCAGCTTGTCCTCAACCCCAGAGCCTCTCTTTCCCCACTGGCTCTCATCCCAGCCTACCTCAGGATCCTGGAGAATGGGTGCGCCAGACCAGAACACTGGCCCTGAGGAAAATGCTCGAACTAGATGGAGGCATGTGATTGGCCATGCGCAATACACCCCTTGCACTCACTCCCTCCATCCCTGGCACCCCCTCCAGAGCACCAACGTGCAGGAGCACCACGTGCTCAGAAGGACTCCCTCTATGACTGTCTGTGCCTGCACCTGCTTGACACGGGCAGGGGCTGAAAATGTTTCCTGGAATCAGATGCCTTGAGCACCCACATTTAAATTATATGAACAACCATCTGGTTTTTCTAGAATCCCAAAACAGGGCCAGAGCCCTTTCCCCACCTCACTCCATTGGCTAGTCCCCTAGCAGCAGTAACACCTGCCCTCAGCCCCACTGCCCTCAGGAAGGGTCAGCCTCAGGTCTGGACTTGTCAGAAGGAAGTGGGAGCCCAGTCAGTACCTGTAGCTGCTGCCCAAGACTCAGGAGGGCACAGACCCCACTCACTGGCACATGGGGAAGTCCTCAGGGCTGGAACCCTGGGATCGGCAGAGAAAACGTGGAATAGCATACCCCCAAGTGGAAACAGCCTCTGGGAGGCAGGCCAGAGAGAAAGCAAACACTTTAAGGCTTTTGGCTGCTAATGCTTGAACTTGGGGGGAAGGCCCCTAGATGTGCCAGCTGCAATGCAGATTCCTAGGCCCCGATTCGTTTTCTGACTCCCATTCATTTGGGGATGAGGTTCAAGAATCAGTACTTTTGGCAATCCCACAGGTGCATGACATAGTTTGAGATCCCTGGATTGGGAATGCCCCGTATTCTTTCACCAACCCCACTCCCTCTACTGACACTTACTCGTCAGCCATCTGTACACAGCGTCTATAGAGCAGAGTCCAGGGCCTCAGCTGGCCTACCCAGGCTGTCTCCAGCCTCAATTCCCTAACATGACCTGGAGCAACTCCGCCTTCCTTGATACATTAACATCCTCGGATACTCAACTCTTGGGGGTGTTGAGAGATGAGAGTATGGTAGAGAAAGTGGTTTGACAAGTTAAAATGCCTTCTAGGTATAGTCCCTAAGTGCTGGGGCCAAAGAAAAAGCAGGGTCAACACCGGCCAGGCCCTCAGACTCCACCTCCAGTGGTCCAGGAGGGAAAAAGAGAAATAAACAAAATTCTATTTCATCACTTAATGCATAAATACAAACTTCAATACAATGGGATGTCTCCCCTCACTGCACACCTCTAATTCATATCTATATCTATGTTCCCAGTAAGCACATGGTACCTGACAAAGAATGAAATCATTTCATACTTTCAGGAGGGAAGGAGGGAGGGACTGAGGGTCGGGTTCAAGGGGCAAATGTGAAGTCAAGATCCATCCAAGAGGCTAGAGGGGGCAGGGTCTTACCTGGTGCCTCTGATAGGCTGAAAACATTTTTTCAAAGTCCTCTAGGTCCAGAATCCGAAATACCTGCATGTCATCAATTTCATTCCATACGGTGCCAGGGACACGTTCCTAGGATTTAGGGCAGGGAGAAAGCCCAAGGTTGGCTCACTTCCTTCACTGTGGAGATGGCCAGTGCCCCCCTAATCCCATCTGTCCCCCAGCTGCACACAATATGACAGCCAGACTTTTAGGCCTTCAGAAGGGGGTTGATTCTTCCCCCTCAGACCTCCACCCCTCCTCAATCCTCTGCTCCAGGGTAGAGTCTAGAGACAACCCCCTTCTCCTCCTTTCCATGTGAGGCCTATGTGTGTGTTAGAGAAATCAGTGGGTGTGCTGGAGTGATGGATGGGCAAAAATGAACTCCTTCCAGAAACGCAAAACCAACCCAGTGCTCTCAGGGCACTCTCCCTGAAGGTCGGGGTTGGCTTAGCCACTGGGAGGAAGCATGCCCACACATACTTGGGATCCTCAAATCCTTAGTGCACATGGGATTTCCTGTATCTGAGATGGTCATTTCTCCTCCCAGAGGTCTTCTTCCCACTTTCCCAGATTCCCAGAAAGTGGCCAAATGCCAAAGGCTGGGACATCCTGGCCTCTCCAGTGACTGATGAGGCCAGCAAGACTGCCACAATTTCCTGTGGGTCAGACTCAGGGAAGATGTCCCATCCTTTAAGACTGGGATGGGCCCAGGAGTTTATATTCCAAGGTCTCTCAACTTAGGCATTGCCCTACCTCTGTATAGAACACTTGCCTTTAACCCCCACCCCAGGGATCTAAGGAGAAGTGGCTACCAGCCAAGCCAAGAACACTCCAGTGGTCCTGCAACACCCCATAATGGCTTAGAGGACAAGAGGCTAGATAGAGCCCCTCTGCCCAGACGCTCCACCCCTCTCCTCCCAAGAATCTTCGCCTCATCTAGAGCTTTGCTGTCTTTTCAGACAGACTTTCCCCACCTTCTTCTGACTGCAGGGCAGCTGGGGAGCCTTCCTAACATGGCCTCCTCCTCCCTCCATCTCCCCTTTAGCAAGGCTTGGAGAGAGAAACATACTTTACACTCATTTTTATTTTCTTAAACTCTGGAAAAGGGGAGGCTAGGCCAGAGCAGGGGGTGGGGACATTCCTGTGGCCTTCCTAAGGCCAGGGACCCTCTTGTGGAATGCCTGGCTAGGAAGCTCAGAGCGGCAAGGGATACAGGCAACTGGCCAAACCCAATACAGACACATTCTTTTCATGGCAGAAGCAACCACTGCATGTGTGTGCATGTACACGCAAGAGCACAGGCAGGATAAGAGAAGGGGTCTGGGGAGAGGAGACAGGCTCCTGGAATAGGGTGAAAACAAGCAGAGGGGAGATGTTCAGGAATCGAATTGGAGAAGGCAGGGGAGAGAAACTTCTATTTCAGTCCCCACTTAAATCTAGGCCTGGGTTGGTGGGCGGGCGCACTGCGAAAGCCCAGAAAGGTGAAGTGTCCCCTTGCTCCTTAGTGCTGGTGAGGCCAGGTTGAGAAAAAATGGGCTGGAATGAGACAGTGGGATGTTGAACACTAGGAAGAAACAACAGAGTGTCCAGTCTCTCCCGCACATCTTCCCAAACACTCTCCCTTCCCCCCACTCACCACAAGAACTCTTGGTGGGAGTGTAGCCAGTTCTAGAGCCAGACAGAGGTACATCCATGCCTAGTGTTCTCCACATCCTAAATTTCACCCAGTCATCTTGATGTGCCTACCATGCACACTAATTCTCAGATTTAATTTTTATACCACTCTGGCCAAGATCTCACCACCTCCAGTCTAGATTCCTAGAGTTTTTGCCCCTCTAAAGACTTCTTGTATATGCCAAGGAAATCCTTCTCAAAAACACACTTCATTAGGTTTCCCTCATGCAGAATTTGGGGTCAACAAGACCAAGGTGGCTTGTTCTCCCTCGGCCTCGTCACTCCGTGGAACTGTTGGCAAATGGAGGGGAACTCCATGTCACATAGGGAAACTGAGTCTCAATGATACTTACTGAGTTGAAGTATGGATTAAGTGAAATAATGCAGTTAAAGCACACATGTAGTACCACCAACAATGATTTTATTATTATTATTATTATTATTATTATTATTATTATTATTAAGACTTTCTATGTGTCAGTCACAGGTAAAAGCACTTTATATGTATTAAAACAAACTTTGATACAGATGTCATAATTACCCCCATTTTACAGATCAGGAACCTGAAGCCCAAATGATGAAATAATCACTAGTCATACAAGTAAGAGCTGAGGACTGGGATAATAGATTCGCAAATATTTCTTGATGCCCCTCCACCTATCCTTGCTGAGGAATGTCTGCAGCTCCTGTAAATGCTCCCCAATGCCTATTTCATCAAACTTGTATTTTCCCATTTAGGAACGAAACTCTAGCCTTCTCTGGATCCCTGCAGAATTCACACAGACTTTATTATTAGTGGGACCCAGAGAAAATCCTAAGCTCTATGTGATAAAAATGTTGCAAAAATATTAGTTGCCTTGATTGTCATGTTTGTTAAGGTTCCTAATCAACATTTTGTGACACTTTAAAAATTATAATTATAATCCCTGGCTGGTGTAGCTCAGTGGATTGAGCGCGGGCTGTGAACCAAAGTGTCACAGGTTCGATTCCCAGTCAGGGTACATGCCTGGGTTGCAGGCCATGACCCCCAGCAAACGCACATTGATGTTTCTCTCTCTCTCTATCTCCCTCCCTTCTCTCTAAAATAAATAAATAAAATCTTTTAAAAAATGAAAAAAATTATAATTATACATTGTAAATATAGCAGACAAAAACTATATCTTTTTATCACAATTTTAAAATATGTTACTTCTGACCATGAACAATGAATGTTTCCACATAGCCCATGGCCCCTGGTTCTTCAGAGGCAGGCCCCTGGCTGCTCAAATGCTCTTTGCCTTTCTGGCTTGCATTGTGGCCATGGAGAAGCATCCACAGGGCACAGCTGTGCAATGCAGCTGTCACAAACTTTAACAGTGTTGCTTCAAAATGCTGCTAACAGGTGGCTCTATAATTTTACTAATTTAGGTTGAAGATGTTATCAGAGGCCCAGGAGACTATAAATGGGCTGTATTCATGCACCGTCTTTCCACCTATATTATAAAACCAGAGGTAGAAGGAATCTTAGAGATCATCTCACAAACAAGAAAACTGAGGTATAGACTAAATGAGTGATTTCCCAGGTCACACAGTTAGAGCCAAACCTGGTTTGGTTGGAGGTTATCCTTCAACACATCCCCAGGATCTAGGTGTTTCTTTGAACATTCTTGCTAATTTGTCAGATTCAAAGCTCTTACAGAAAGACATTATGTCTCACTTTTTCATATTATCCACAGTCCCCAGTGAAAAGCTTTGTACAAAGCAGACTTCAAACTGACTGGCTAGCTGGTCTACCATTAGGAGAAGGCATCTAACAAATAGCTGACAACCTACTTAGCAACCCCATGCCTCTTCTCACTTGAATGTCCATTTGAGCTCACGTAAGTTCACTAAAATGGTACAGTTATGATTTCCCCAAAAGGTAGTCCAACAGGCCCATATGACAAGGTCAGAGTGCACCCATTACTCCCAGGCCCAAACATGACTGTTATGGAAGTGTGAGTGTGAGTCAGGCCAGTTGAACTCAGTTGCCTAATATGTATTTATCTCCAGGACAGAGTCACTGTCCTCTTAATAGAACATATTAGTACAGCACCAGAGGCAGGCTTAATCCAGACTAGAACTGGCCTTCATTTACTAGGGGTCTGATGCAACCTAGTGGCATCTCTCCTCTATGCTCATGAGAATCCAACAGAGGAATCAACTCCACACACGGACCTGGGATTGGTAGTTAGTGGGTCCTGCTCAGAAGGGCCTCCTTGCTGAGCCATCTTGGAAAGTAGCTCCTTTACCTGAGATGATGCCAAAATGTCTATATCTTGGCATCAAATTCTTCATTACAAGTGTGTCCTCACCTGTCATGCCTAACTTCAGTCTTTTGTACAACTGCCCTGATCTTTACCATACCTAGACTTTGGCCCAAGATATTTGTCTAGATCTTCTACCCTTTTCCTCAAATGGACCCTATCCTTAGAGTTCCAGCCCAGCCCTTATCTTGTCTAGAAAGCAAGGCCCATGCTCCTGGACCTGTGTTACTCCATTAACCCTCAGCACACACAGATTCCATCAGCAGGTGGCTTGGCAACATGAGCATTAGCACAAGCCCAGCCCTCTCCTCCCAGGGTAGATGTTCTTCCCAGTGAACAACAAGTAGCCTGGTATCAGCTGTCATATCTTCTGCACCCATTGTGTCTCCGTTTATGCCCCCCAAAGAAAGAACCCAGGGGAGAGATCTGCAAATGATGGGGCTGCCTGCCCTTGGCTGTAGGAGAGTGGATGCACTGACAACCTATCCCTGATCACTCACCTCATTCAGCTTGACCCAGTTGAAGGACTTCAGTGGGTGGGAAGGTTGGGGGACACACTTCTTCCTGAGTGGGACATCACTGCTGGGGAAGGGGTCTGGAGGAAGGGGCAGGCCCATGCTGAAGCAAGGCGGGGCACCAGGGGGAGTGGGAGGCCCAACAGGTGGAAGGGGTGGTGGCGGTGGGGGGCAGCAGGAAAATGGTAAAGGGGGTGCAGGTGGAGGCAGGTCATTGGTTGTCATCAAAGAAGGTCCCCCAGGGGGAGGTGGGGAAGATACAGGTCCTGTCTGTGGGAAGACAGAAAAATCCAAAAAACAAAGCCATCAGCAATAATACTTTTCAGGTTCCCACTATTACTCCTAAAGAGTAATTCTCTTACTCTTATTCTCCAGCTACACTAGACTCTCCAATACTGCTGTTACCTCCCACATACACTATTTCTGTATCCCAAACATCAGACACACACACACACACACACACACACACACACAACCACAGACAGACACACATATAAGTCCAATACTCATATATAGACACTGAACAAAGTCATAGTCATCACAATGCAACAGCAGGCTGAGACACAGAGTTGTATTTGCTACTACCTGCATGTGGGTATCCAGCTGAGGGTGGGTGGAGCCAAAATCCCCCCTGCACTCTGCCTCCAAAGTGTGCTTCCTGGGATAGCATCACCCAGAGGAAGGAGCACTATTTTTTCTAAGTAACACAAAGGTGACAGATGCCCTTACAGCTTCAGGGGTCCCTTCTATGCTGAGCTAAGGTGCCCCTCTCTCTTCTCCCTCATCCTGAGATCCTGAGCCCCTCCCCACACTGTTCTTCCCACCTTGTCCTGAAAGTCTCGGCTCATCTATTTAAAAGGAGAGGAGAGTGCCCACATACTGAGATTTCACTGAGTTGGGCTACCAGCTCAGCCACTTGTCCACGAGCCTGGCGTAGCTCCTGGGACTCTCGGGCCAGTTTGTCCTTCATCTTGTTCAGCGTTCGCATCATCTCTTCCTTCTCCAATGTCTTTGTCTCACATTCTCGCTCTTTCCTTTCCAGCTTGCTCACCAGCTCCATGTGTTCTAGGATAGGGTGGGAAAGGAAAGGAAATGGAGAGAGAGAATGTGAGTCTGTGTGTATCCCTCTCCAAAGGCAGAGGTGGGTCCTGGGCTAAGCAGGGGAAGGAGTGTGTAGAGCGGGCAGTGGGTTTAGGCAGAGCCCCTCACCTTTCCGGAACTTCTCGGCCTGGTCTCGCCACTGTTTGACCTCATTCTCATTGATAAGCCTGGTGGGAAGTAGAGGGAAGGGCCTGTTGAACATTGGCTCACAACCCTCCAGAAGACAGGTCATCTTCCTATTCCCCACATTGGTGCCCTGATTTCCGATCTGTCTGGCCACATCAAGGAGGACAAGATTTTGACTCTCCAGATGTTTTTCCAGGTCCTTATCCCTGCCCAGTTCTCCCTATGTGTCTCTCCATGGACTGTGAAAGCTAAAAGAACCCGTAGGTATCTTATAATCTAATTCCTTTGGGAAACAGCTTAAGCTCCCAAGACAAGAGCTGGAGACAACAACTAACTACTGGTAGAACTAGGTCTAAATCTCAGACTCCCCTTAGTTGTAATGATTTGAATCCCCTTGTAAAAATAGGTTTTTGCATTGACAGAGATCAAAATATTGACCCTACCATGGTGCAGGATTCCAAAGACCAATGTATAAGAGTAAGGGAGAGTACCCATTCCAATAACACAGAATAAGTGTGTTGAGAGTGAAGAGGGGATATGTCTAAACCATAGGGACTCCTCATTCACATCCAACTCTTGTACCAGGGGTTAAAAGTAAACTGTCACCTAGACACCAAGGTATAAGAGAGGTGAAATCCCAATAATCATTTCTTTGGTAAATCTGAAAATGTGGAAGAGTTATATCCATGACTCTTAACTTCCTTGACCAGACCAAGGCTATAAAGAGGAGACAGAGTGTGGAGGGGGGAATAATTTGTGCAGAGACTTCTTTGGAGAAAGCCACTACCATCATCTTCCCCGGGACCGCTACCTCCCTCACCACTGTCCAGTTGTCTTGTTTGGGTCTCTCAGAGAGTTTTGACCCATGTTCCTTGACATTGAGCAGGAAGCATGGTGGACTAGGGTCTGGCTTGGAGGCCTGTGGGCCCAGAGAGTGAAGAAGCATTAAGCAGGAGAGCACTGCTGAGCTGGGTGGGTCCTGTTGTGGGTCTCCTAGAGTTTATTGGTATGAGGATTGCATGAGGGTTTCTTTGAGGCAGATGTAAGCACTGTGGAGGAACTATCCTGAAGCTATTTTAAGCCCTGTCTAAGAAGTCCACCTAGGAGAAAACTGGACACTTCAACAGTGCAAATATATGTATTATATTGCCAATGAATCAGGAGCTGATAGAAGGGATGGTACTAGCCAGCCCTGAGAAGAAGGAAAAAAACACACCTTGAATGATCAGTGAGTAGGGCTTTGCATGAGAGGTACCTAGCAAGGAACTTCTGAAGACTCCAGAAATACATTCATGACTTTACCCATGTGCCAAAACCAGAGAGCAAGAAGCCTATTTACTAAGTTACCTGATCAGGTAAGACCTTTTCCCTTTCTCCTTCCTGACCCCATGCTTCCTCTGGTTGGAATCAGAAACTGGTTAGCTAGTGGGAAAGGGGTGTAGAAGGGGTTAAAAGAGAAACAGAACTGAAAAAACAGGCCATCTCTCTCTCTCTCTCTCTCTTTCTCTCTCTCTCTCTCTCAAACACACACACACGCACACCCTCCCCACTGCAGCTTTTCGGCCCCAGTCCAGAAAGAAGAGATATTTAAGGCTCAGTCACATCTAGACTATTCATGTACATCTGGGACTAGTCCTTCCTTTACAGATTGGAGGCTATGTTGGAGGCTTAAAGTGATCTTAGGAGTTCCATTGCCCAAGAAGCAGAAAAAGCTTCATTGCACCTGAGTAGTTTTCATCCTCTGACAGAGGAAAAGCTTCTGTACTAGTGCAAAGAGTAGAAAATAAAGAAAAAGTTACATTTTGATCTTTACTAGTTATACTTGCCTAACATATCAGTGAGGATTTTAGCCACATTAACCCATTTTAACCCTATTTGTGTAAATGAAGACACTGGCTGAACAGTTTAAAAATCATTTTCTGCTTGGCTTGGGAATGCAATACAATGAATGACTGAGGGCCACTTTATCTCCTTAAGGGCAATTGGCTCAGACTTACACTGAAAGATAAGTAAATGTTTAAAATTAAAACTCAGTGTGTTAACATAAGGCCTGAATACTAACTGATGTGACCTGAAACTTGGTTCTATGTGTTTCTCTGGACCCAGGGTCAGTCAAAGACGGTAAGCCAGACCTCAGGCTGTGACACCCTTGTCCAACAGCCTCATGGTGAAATGGTCTATAAACTCTATATCAGCGGTCAGCAAACTTTCTCTAAAGGGACAGAGTATTTTAGATTTTATATACTATGTACAGTCTTTGTTGCATATTCTTGCGTTTGTTTTTAACAACTCTTTTAACATGTAAAAACTACTCTTAGCTCATGGACCGTACAAATACAAGCTGGGGAGTTAGCTCACAGACCACAGTTTGCTGATTCCTCCTCTATGCTGATTTTAAACTCCTCCTTTATCCAATCTATGCAATGGATCACTGAGAGCTGAGTGACCACCCCACAAATCTGTGCTGTCCCACATGGTAGTCATTAACTATGCCATATGGCTATTTGATTAAAAGGAAATACAATTTAAAGTTCAGTTCTCCAGTCACACTAGACACAGGTTAGGTGCTGTGCAGCCACATGTGGTCAGTGCAGATATGGAGCATTTCTATTATCTCAAAGAGTTGTTTTAGACAATGTTGCTCAAGGCCCATTTGGAGGTGTCTGGTGTGAGAGAGGGAGCTGAGCTTTCACTGGTGAGACCCCCAACAGGAGAGAGATGGGAAGGAGCAGGAAGACAGGTGAGGGCTAACCACTGCTCACATGTTGACGATGTTCTTGACGTTGAAGTTCTCCAAGGGAGCCATGTCAGGGTCCACACCCCTCTCATCCTGGAGGACAATCTGCTGGAGGATGCGGTCCAGGAGCTGCCACTGCTGGAGGTAGCCACCATTGCGCTTGTCTGAGGGACAACAGGCATCATCTCTTTAGTGAGCCCCCTGGAGCCTCACCCTAGAGTCACTGCCTGGATCTAGGCTGGTGAGACGTTCCCTTACCCTCCCTTGGCAAGCTCCCAGTCTGAGAGGGGAAGCAGTGCAGTTGCTGATGATGGAGATTCACAAAACCAGTCATTTCTTGATTTCCTGTGACCCTCTATGAATGTGTCAACCCCCTTGACATAGTTCTCTACTCCCTGAAATGCTTCCTGGAAGCCTCTCTTCCCTGTTGCTACCTGAGCATCCTATGCCCTGGAATGAAAACTGCTTTTTATATTATCTTTAAAGAGCACCTTTAAGAAAGTAAATCAGCTCTAAAATATTGCAGGCTGAATAATGAAATCTCTAGGGAATTTTTTTTTTTAAAAAGAAGAGGTTGTAGGATTATCTATGCTATTGTTCTACAGAGAAAGAGGAATGGAAACTAATTACAGGTATGCACAGACAGGGAGTCAGACTGGGTTGAAGAAGGGGTAATAGAATCCAGGAAGATTTTTTTTTTTTGGTGAAGGTCACCCTGAACTATGAGGGCAAAGGCATTCTGTTGTTATGCCTGATCTTAAAGGGCCCCACTCTCATCCTCTGTAATCATAGTGTCTGTCTGGACTTTCTAGAGATTTCATTTATTTATTTTTAGAGAGGGGAAGGGAGGGGGAAAAAGAAGAAAAGAAACATCAATGTGTGACTGCCTCTTGTGCACCCCCCTACTGGGGACCTTGCCTGCAACCCAGGCATGTGTCCTGACTGGGAATCGAACCAGCAACCCTTTGGTTCGCAGGCCAGCACTCAAACCACTAAGCTACACCATCCAGGGCTCTTCATTGGCTCTTGATCCCCCATACTTTCATCCCTACTGACCACCAAGGGAGGTCAACCAGCATGATCCTGACCATGAAGTCAAATCATTAAGGCCTACAAGGCTGAAGGTCATCTGCAAAGCCCCATTCTGAAGCAGACAGAGAGACCTAGACACAATGCTCATGGAACACCAAGCATAGGGACTTGTGGGACCAGAAGTCAGGTTCCCCAGGAGCTTCCCATGCGTCCATAAAGACCTTCTGGACCGACTCTGGAGAAGAACTGAGAGCTTCCTGGTCCCTGCCACACGGTCTATTTTCTTTCCACCATTCCATGGACACACGCATTACAAAGTGGCATCATTTTTCCATTTACCTTTCACCCAGGAAAACAGGGTGAGGCTAGAACACAGCTCATAGAAGTAGAATATGTTTCATCTAAAGCCCTGGCCCCAAAGAAACAAAAATTCCTTCATATGGAAAGATTCGCTCAGCCTCAAGTTCATACACTGGAAACGAGATAATAATGCACATTCCTTAAGTCATTTGGAGGTTCAGAGACATTGTGCTAAAGGACCTCACATCACACCTGGCCAGAGTAGGCACACAGTAAATTGTAATTGTTGTCACTATCACCACCACTAAAGAGAGTCTGTCTAGGTCAACCATGATTTTCCAAATATTTCTTTTGTAAAGAGCTTAAATACCAAATGGTACAATTTCAAATTGCATGCTGGGGTGGCTATTAGTAATTATATATGATTTATGCAGTCACCTGGACCATAAGAGCTTGGCATCTGCTCCTGTAATCACTGACATTTGTATAGAGAAGCAGGGGATGCTCTGACTGGTATGGCTCAGTTGGTTGGGCATTAAACTGCAGGGCGAAGGGTCACTGATTTTGATTGCCTGTCAGGGCACATGGCTGGGTTGCAGGTTCAGTCCCAGGTTGGGGCACATATGAAAGGCAACCATTTGATGTTTCTCACATCAATGTTCCTCTCCCCTCTCTTTTTCCCTTCCTTTCCCTCTCTCTAAAAATAAATAAATAAAATCTTTTAAAAAGAGAGAGAGAGAGAGCAGCAGGACACGGGTCTTGGGATGGAAGACAGCAAGGACTAGATGGAGAAACTAATTAAAAAACAACCAGATTGCACTATCCAGCAAAGCTTTCATTTAGAATGGAAGGGCAGATTAAGTGCTTCTCAGATAAGGTCAAATTCAAAGAGTTCATCATCACTAAGCCCTTATTATATGAAATGTTAAATGGATTTATCTAAGAAAAAGAAGATAAAAAATATGAACAGTAAAATGACAGGAAACTCACAGTTATTAACAACCACACCTAAAACAAAAACCAAAGCAAACTAAGCAAACAGCTAGAACAGGAACAGAACCACGGAAATGGAGATCACATGGAGGGTTATCAACAGGGGAGTGGGAAGAGGAGAGAGAGGGGGAAAAGGTACAGAGAATAAGTAACATAGATGGTAGGTAGAAAATAGACAGGGGGAGGGTAAGAATAGTATAGGAAATGGAGAAGCTGAAGAACTCATATGTAGGACCCAGGGACATGAACTAAAGGGGGGGATGAGGGTGGGAGAGGGTGTGCAGGGTGGAGGGGAGTGAGGAGGGGAAAATGGAACAACTGTAATAGCACAATCAATAAAATATATTTAAAAAAAACAACAACACAAAAAATGCTACTCATTCCACATCTATGCCACTCCCCACACACAGAACTTCTTTTTGGAACTCCCCAAGAGGCCTGATCACTCCCCTGTTGAGCTGATGGCCAGAGTTGTTTGATTTCACACTGCTTGTTGGACTGTCATGTTGGCATTGCTGAGAGGCAAGTCCCAGCAACTCCCCAAGGTGATAATGGAAATCTTGGCCTCAAGGAGGGAGGAAGAGCAGGGGCTGGCCTGGCTTCCCCGGGGCATGTGTAGAGTTAGACTTGGTGAGATTCACTATCCTAGGAGGTCCCAGAGCCTTGTCTCAAGCTGCTCCAGACTAGGGCTCAAGCAGCTGAGGAAGTGGCAGGAGCAGGCTACTCACAGGGCATCTGCAGGCAGTGGTGCAAGACAGAGAGCAGGCAGGGATAGGCCTCTGTGTGCTTCAGCTTCCTGTGGATCAGCTCAAACATCTGGGAAGCACTCTTGGTGTCAATGTGGACCTGGGGGAGTGCAGGTAGCAGTGACTGGGATGGGAGAAGGAAGCGGAGGAAGAGAATAGGGAAGAGAAGACCCTGCCTCCACCCACTGAGCAATGGCCCACCACCTGGAGAACCTACCTTCCCCTGCCTCTGTCCCAGGCTTTAAAAAGGAGGAGCGAGATGTGCTAACTATATAAAACAGGATTTCTCAATCTTGGCACTAATGGCATCTCGAACTGGATAATTTTTGTTGTAGGAGGCTGTCCTGTGTATTGTAGGAGGTTTGGTAGCATCCCTGGTCTCTATCTATCAGATGCCAGTGGCATTCTCCTCACATTAGTTGTGACAACTTAAAAATGTCTCAAGACATTATAAATGTCTCCAGGCAGGTGGGAGTGTGGACAGCAATATCGTCCCTGGTTGAGAACTACTGATTCAAACCAAGGGATGGAAGCAGGGACATAGATGATTCAAGAAGCACATAGGTCCACAACCTGGGCTCAGACCCCAGACATACTCTCTAGATGTGTAATAACAGGCAAGCTGATTGTCCTCTCTAACCTCAGTCTCCATATCTACGAATGCAGGGATTTTGAGAGAATGTACTAGGATGGTATTTGGTGACTGAAGCCTGACCCAGAAGTAGGTTTCTATTTGCATAGGGATTTTATAGTTCATACTAAGCAGCAGAGTTGTGTATTTTCTGGGTTACTAAGGCTAAAATGAAAATATGATTTTGTTTGCTAAGCATGATCTGGTTAGTAATGGGGAGAGGTGTCTCAGGAAATTGCTAGAGGGCAGGGGAAAGTAGTCCAGAGAGGCATTTAAGGCCACTCATGTGTAAAAAAAAAAGCTATCTCTCTTTTGTTTGGGGGTTGTGACCTCCTGGGGGGAAATACCCCATCAGGTAAGGCCTGTCAGGTGAGGCTTCCAGAAACATGGCTGGACTCAGCCATGGGGGGACCACCAAGAAATCAAACAACACTAGACCCACCACAGTGCAGGATCTGAAGAAGTGGCTGTAGGGCCACCTGGGACCCACTGCAGTCACCTCACCCAGGCAGGCTCCTCACCATGTCAAACCTCCTGGCTAGCTCCAGGTCATCCTCATTCCGGACCATCTCGAAGAAGTCTAAATGCCTAGATAGGGTGGGAATATAGAGAGTGTAGACATCAGCATCAGGACATCCTTGCCCATTCAAGCCCCACCGGCTAAACCTGAGGTTTCATTCAGCTGAGGCCTCTCAAAACTCAGTTTCTGAATTGACAAAACCAAAAAGAAGCCAGCTGTCTGCAGGCCAACCCATGGCCTTCTCAACATCAGGCACTATTGACATTTGGGGTTGGATTATGCTGGTTATGAGAAGCTAATCTGTCAGTTGAAAGAGGTTCAGCGGCATCTCTGACCTGCACCCACTAGATGCCAGTAGCACCCGCCACCTTGAGTTGTGACAATCAAAAATTGTCTCCAGCCATTGCCAAATGTACTCCGGGGAGGGTGGCGGTTAAATAGTGCCAAGTCATGGACTACTGTCCTACATATCCTTCCCAGTGTTCTCATACTGTCCCCATGGCAGCCCTCAAGATAAATCTCTCTAACTTTCTACCCCATCCACTGTCCCGCTCCACCTCAAAATGATTCATCCTCTCTCGCTTAAGACCCAGTGTAATACAATAGCCTGTTTCAATGGAACAGAACCAGAGGGGCTACTGGTAACACAAGGAAATGTCATTGTGCCCCAGATCAACAAGGGCCTTTATGGCTTGTCTTCTGAGCAGGGCATTTGTGTTGAGCAACAATGCACCTCAGGGCATTTAACATTCCCAGTTCCTAACAACCAATATTCACAGCATCCCCACCATGCAGTTTGAAAACCAAACGACACTCCCTCATGTTTCCAAATGCCCCTAGGGGGCAGTACTGTCATGGTTGAGGACTACAGGGTTCACCTGTCTATAACATCAAAGATCAAACAGCAAGTCAGTGGAGAAGACAGTAGGGACACAGGTAAGACCTGGGACATGGGGGTGGGGGAGCTACACCCCCCCCCAACAGACACAGAACTGATTCTGCATTGATGCTGAGTATGGCAGATGGTCTCTAGTGGGAAGGACAGCCTCCAGGATGGTCATAATCATTACCCACCAAGGTACTGTCCCCATAGGTCTGCCGTGGGGATGGGTGGCTTGGGCCTTACTTGTCCAGGATGGCATTCTCATGCTGTCGGAGTTTGTCAATCACAGGCTGTATCCCCAGCATCAGGAACTCATACCGTAGATGGAGGCGGAACTCCAGATTATCCTGGGGATCAGCAAAGAAGGACTAGACTCACTGACTGGTCTCAATTTCCATGAGAGTCACCAGTGAATCCTCATTGCCATACTAATCATTGTCCCACCACATCTGCAGCAAACTCATCTGGAACTGCTTCAAGTCCCAAAGTCCCACGAAAGGGTTGGAGGAGACATCTTTTGATGTTGTTAATTTATTCCCTTTATGTCTCCTGCCTCATCTCCTTTGAGTCTCTTGCCAGGTTTTTCGTAGCTTTTGTCAGCACAGAGCAGTGCTGTCGAGTGATACCAGAGCACAAGCTTGGGAGTCAGAAGATGTTGGTTCAAAGCCCTGCTCTGCCACTTATTCTAGTTTTGTGACTTTAGGAACACCTTAGTTTCCTCATTTGTGAAATGGGCATGATATTACCTATAGGAATGATGTTAGTAACAATTACCTGATGAGTTATGGTTACCAACTAATCAGAACAGGTATCAGCCATAAATACCTAGCACTGAGAAAGGTGTCAGCATTTTAGAGACAGATTCCACCAATCCACCTCATCTACCTCATGTTGTCAGGATTGGATGCAAAAAAAACAAAAACAAAACAAAACAAAACAAAAAACATGCTGGCAGAAAATCAGGAAAAGCAGAGACTATTACAGTGCCCCTTTTATCCTTCAATAAACTGACCTTGACTAGGGCATCTGATTACGTTAGAATTTGGGGAGTTCATCTGCTTTTCAAATTCTTCTTTAATTGTTGCTATCTTAATAGTTTGAGAATCCTATTCTGATCTCAAAGGAAAGAAATAAAAAAAAAACACACCTCCCAACAGATGATTGTAGAAGAGCATGATTGGTCAACCCAGAAACCATTCCAGAAGCAGGTTTTTATAAAACTCTAGGTAAAAGGGGCCATACTCTTCCTCCTCTTGTAAATGACCCCACCACCCTAAGCCATCATCAGCCAGCCAAAATTGGGGTTTGTCCATAACAACACATAATGCATGATGTATTGATATGCATGCAATGCGTAATGCATGATTCCTATGCAGGAAATTCTCCAGGAGTCCCTCATGACAGTGAGGTCAATGACAAGCTATTCTTTCTTAGCCCCAAAGAAAGAGGCAAGTGGTGATAAAGATAATGAATATGAAGACAATGATAGTAGTGGCAGCCATACCAACCAGATGCCTGGCCCTTTCCTCTGCTACCTCCCCCAGAAGCACTCACACACTCTAGCCCAGGTCCAGAAAGTCAGGGCACAGCAAGGGCCAGGCAAAGGGGCCTCACCTCTCCAGCACCAGCATTGAGGACAGCATTGATGAAGGACATGATGGCTGTCTTCAGATTCACTTCATCCCGGTACCGGCCCAAACTTCGGTCCAGCTCATTCAGCAGTGTCTGGATGGAAGGGCAGGACAGGAAAGGAGAGGGAGGCTCAGGATCCTAAAGGTCCAGCCTCTGCTCCTTTGCTTCTGCCATTACAACAATCCAGAATGCCCCATCCATGCTTTCTACCCAATCTACCCAACTTATCTGGAACCTTCTCTACAGCTTCCAAGAAGCCTCATTTGCCTCTCCACAACTCCGCCTCAGCCCTGCCATACTTCCTCTCCACTCAGCCTTTTGGGGCTGGGTTTATTTTGTTGGGCAGTGCTGAAATACTGATTCAGCACCTTCCAGCTCTTCACAGCTAATGCATGTGCTGCCTAGCTTCTTGACAGTATGTACACTGCCTTTGATCTGTTTTGTACCTTCTTTAAAGGGCCAGGGGCCACTTTTTGCAGAATAGGTGCTTGAAAGTGTTTGATAACAGAATAAACAAATAACCAATACTGGTGGATAAACCACAGAGAATGTAACGACTGTTCACATCTATTGAGACTTACTCTGCACCCAGACACTTTATGCTTGTTGTCTACCTTTTTGGCACATTTCTGGGGGCAGGTCAGGGAGAAGAAAAGTGAAATGCTTGGCCTCAGCTCCCAGGACTGTTTCTAGTGTCCAGTAGTATGCACTGGCCCAGTGTAGGGCCTAAAATCTTGAGCCCAACAATTACAATCAATTCAACAATTCTTAACCGAGTCCCTGTAATGAGCCAGATGCTGGACTCAGAGAGGCAGAGCCACAAAAATGAAAGAAACCAATATTCCAGCCTCAGAGAACCCATGTTCTAGAAAGAAGTCTATTTTCCTAGCAAACACCCATCTCTTAAAGCCCCTCCCATGTTTTTATACAAGCCCTCCGCAGGCACCTCACCTGGAAGCGTGTCCGCTCAGCGGCATACACCTGGTAGTGCAGCATGGCCTGCAGCACTTTCTTGTGACCACCAGGCACTAGGCACACGGCGCCCAGGATCTCTAGCACGGCCACCTTGGTCTTGCTGTTCTCAGTGCGCAGGCTCTGTGCGATGGTGCTGATGGCCTCGGGCTGCGCCAGCACGTGAGCCCGCCCCTGAGAGTTGTTCATCAGAGCCTTGATGCAGCCGATGAGGGAGGTGTGGATGCGGCTCTCGCAGGTGGCGTGGTCCATGCTCCGGAGGAAATTCAGCAGACATGTCAAGCCATCCAGCTCGATGAAGCGGGTCACAAACCTGCCCGGGCCAGAGTTGTTAGCAGAACAGGCATCCTGCACTTGCATATTATTCTGTATAACTATTTGTAAATAGTTATCCCATTACCTGTGCACCATTGTGTCCCACCTACAGTAACCACTTGAATCATTTATAAAGTGTATCTAAAGCCCTGAAATCCTGTCAGCCCAGGGGGGCTTGTATCTTATTTGCATTTTAAATGCTCTGTATTTGCATGTTATTGACTGTCAGTTGCATAGCTGTGGTGCTGTGTATGTGAAGGTGATGATCATGACAATGACTACAATAATTATTATAGCTGTTAAACCTGAAGACTCATCTCCAAGGAGGATGGAAATTAAGAAAATTAAAGTCAGACAACAAGGAAGACCTCCAGACCAGGGGAAGGTGCGGGTAGTGCATCAGAGTCTCTCAGTCCAAGGACCAAGGCTCTAGCAGGGTGTCCAACCCATGGCCCACGGGCCACATGGGCCCAGAATGGCTATGAATGCAGCCCAACACAAAATCGTAAATTCACTTAAAAACTTTTTTTTCTCATCAGTTTTTATCAGTGTTTGTGCATTTAATGTGTGGTCCAAGACAACTCTTCTTCCACTGTGGCCCAGAGACACCAAAAGGTTGGATACCCCTGCGAGGGTATTCTTCAAGGAGTCTTTAAGAAAACTGCTAAGTCATCTTGAATGTTAGCAGAAACACTAAAACCATTTAGTTAAGGGGTTCTTAACCTAGAGCCTGTGTTTCCTTAAAGGGTCTCTGGCTAGCATTCAAGGGGCCATGAACTTGGATGGAAAAATGAAATTATACAGGCATATCTCATTTTATTGCACTTTATTCTGACTTGCTGAAGGCTCAGATGATGGTTAGCATTTTTAGCAATACAATATTTTTAAGGTGCATACATTGTTTCTTAAGCATAATGCTAATGCATACTTAGTAGACTACAGTATAGCATAAACATAACTCTCATGTGCACTGGGATCCAAAAATTCAGTTTGACTTGCTGTGTTGTCATATTCCCTTTGTTGCAATGCTCTGGAACCAAACCTACAATATCTCTGATATGCCTGTACTTTTACTTTTGATAACCTTTAATTGAAATTTAGCATTTCCTTCAATGATAAATGTAGGTAATAAATAATAGTGGTAGTAGCAGAATCTGTGGCTTTGTCACCCAAAGAAATAACAGCGATTTTCATATCAAGTTACAGTTGTTTCAGGTATCTCAAAATATCATTTACCTTCATCAGCACTTCAAAATTATGGTTGCTAGTTCTTGCTATTTAAGGCACATTTATTGCTATTTCAGACATTTTAATATTTGGTAACTGTACTTCAATTTAATGATTTATGTTTTAATCCTATCTAATTTTATCTATTTTACCTTACTACTTAAAAAATTCTGAAAGTAGTCAATAGGTTTCATTTGGGTGCTGACGTCATCTGTGGTGCGCGTGGGCACATGTAAGCTTAGAACCCTAGGTCTAGTAGAACAGTATGTGATGATCTGAGGAATGTCATAAATGGAACTGAGGGAACTACTACTTATAATACACTGGATCCCAAGTGTATTTGTGTGTATTTCTATGTTATACAAATATATCCAGAAAAAAATTTACTCAAATTAAGTTGTTACAATAGGCATTATTTACATTACAGTATGTTTTCTGTATTCGGCTAAATTTCTACCATGACTCTGTGTACAAACTTTAGTAATCAGAAGTTTATCAAGGGGAAGAAAAATTCATTGAAGTGGGAGACAAATCCGGAAACCCCCCCACGACCCCTTTACTTCCTGATCCCACATCCTTCGGGCAGCCCCTCCCCATGCCTGACCCCCACTCCATCCTGAGAGACAAGTGGAGATTAGGGTGCTCCCTTCTCCCTGGGGCTCTGTTTCCAGGCTCCTGGGGCAGAGACCTCAGCCCAGGTAACACACACATCGGTGTGCCTGTAAATGTTCAAAGACTGGCTCTCTGGAGAAAGAAAGAAAAGACCTGTAGCGTTTGCCAGTTTCCATGGTATAAATGCTCCCGCACAGCTGACTTCCACCCATCAGTGTGACGTCACTGGACGTGGAGTTGGGAAGAGCTACTCCATTTATAGCACTTCCGCCATGCATACACGACAGGTACACACTCAAGAGCACATGCAATAGTGAAGATTGTACAGAACAGTAAAACGGAGTCAAATCATTACAGAACTAGGGGGTGATAAGTTGAGTACTTATTACCTGTTTTTGACATAATTCATTTAATCATAAATCCATATTCTTACATTTTAATCACAACTGTGTATAACAACCAGTTTGCAGAATTGCAGCTGAAAATTGAACACGCGGCTCTCACAAGCCTGTATGGGCCAGTTCCCGGACAGAAGATCCCGTGCCCCTTGTCCTCTCTTCCGACGCTTGCACTACGCAGCCTGGGAGTGGGGCTTTCTACTCCTCTTTTCCTGGCCATTTCTGCCGCTCCCCCTCCACACAGAGGCGACATCTCATCCACGGACACCCACCGTGCCTCCCCCTACCGGCTGGCATATTCCTCGCTCACACTCGGGAGGCCTCGCTCTCGGAGCTCTTTCCACAGCCTTGAACCTACAGCCCCCTTCCTTCCTGTTCTATCCTCCCCAGAAAAACGGGTACCTGCCCTCAAATTCTCTTCAGGCAGCTCTTCTGGACCAGGGGCTTATTCCATTGTCTCACATTCACCGCCCGTCCTCCCCAACACGCCCCCCCCCCCTGCAGACTCCCTGCTCCTCAGAAAAAGGGGGTGAGGGAGCTGGCCTGAAGTACCCCTCGGGAGAGCTGGGGAGCAGAGGGGCCACGGGGACCAGGGTGGGAACAGAGCACTGCCTGGCGCTTCGGGAAGTTTCGGGGAGCCACTGGGTGAAGGGAGGTGGAAAGAAGTGGGGGGAGGAGAAACAGAGGCAGTCACCTCATAGGCTGTGTCCGGAGAGCCGTCTTCAGGTCCTCCACCACTTGGCTCCTCATCTCCGTCTCCTCCTCATCAAACGCGTACAGACTCTGCATCTGAGGTAGGCAGAGAGGGCCGGGGTCCCACTGGTCCCGCCTCCCAGCCCTTGCACCCCCAGCCCAGGGGTGAGGGGCCACCCTGCCTCCCGAAGGAGGGGCATGGGCAGTGGATTGCTAAGGCAGAGAGAGCATCGGACTCTGGGAAGACTGGGTTCCGGCCCGGACTCCACATTGCTTATCCGTAAAATGGGGAGAATCATTGGCCCAGCCGTTATCCCAGGCTTGTGCAGTACACAAACAGGGCCATGTTTAAGTGGTTGTGGGACTCTAAAGTCACACAGGGAAGAGAGGGGGCAACAACAAAATCTCGGGGTCTGATCTCTAGCCAGTGGGCATGAAGTGCAGGGCAGGTGGCGCTCTCCCCCAGCGCCTCTCCCGCCTCTCCCGCCTCTCACGCCTCTCACGCCTCTCACGGTGGGGCCAGGGCGGGGAGGGGTGCCGCTCACCGCAGCCATGGAGTTGATGCGGTCAATGTAATAGTCCGGCCAGCTGGTCGCCGTCTTGTTGGGGTCCTCCTGCTCCTGCAACAAGAAGAAGTGGATGGACCCATTTGCTGACCGGCCGGTGGCCTGAGATCCGAGGCGCAGTTGGTGGACAGAGTCCTTTCCCAGCCCCGCTGAGCCGAGGCGGGTGACGGCAAGGGAATTACGCAGTCCCCCGAACGGGAGGCCTCCGTTCCTTCCTCGGTAAAACGTGGGTAATAAACACTGAATCTCATGCCCAGCTCATGACACGGGCACAAACCATGCAGGTATGTATACGCCTCCCATGAACAATATGTATAACTAAAAATAAATTCATTTTTCCCTGTTACATGTGTTCTGACTTTATTTAATAAAATATAATTTTGTATCTGTTGAATGTAATGAAATTTGTGCTGATATTTTATACATCTGGTTTTTTTCCAATTTATTTTTTCAGACACTATCATTCTCATTGTATTTTACAAAAGTACTTGGTTTGTGATAGTTTGGGAATTTAAAAACCTGGTCTTTCTCCCAGATAGTTTGAGAAGCACTGAGATGAAGCATTTCGTGGAGTGTGCCTGGCACATAGTGGGTGCTCAATAAATAATAACTTTAAAAAAGAAAGAAAGCATGAGGAACTCCAAGACTCACGGGTGTAGCTGGGAGGCAGAGCCCATATCGTCTTAATGATCAGGGCCCAAGACAAAGCCTCAGTTCCACCCCAAGTGTGGACAAGAAAGATGCGAGTTGGATAAACATCAATGTTGACCGAAAAACCCAGCCAACAGATCTTCTGGGCATTACACAGACCCAGCCCATTCCTGTCCTTGTCCCATTTGGCTGTTCTTTCTTGTCTGCTCTCTGCCAATCTCCTGCTTCCAAATCGGCATAAAAACCTACCTCCTCCAGAGCCTGTCTGCCAGCTGGCCTGAACTTTGCCCTGAACCCCTCGGCTCCATCCACTTGGGATTCATGATTTGGTTTCTTAAAATCCAAATTTTAGACCAGTGGGAAAGCTGCCTTGATTTTTGTGACTTTGTGTGACTATATGTGTTAAATCTCGATGCCTGAGGGCCCCAAATTCTATTTTCTACCTTGGAAAAGGGGTCACAGAACCAAAAAAAAATGCATCATAAAACACATATTTCCCTGCCTGTGGTGGCTCATCCTTTATCCATTCCATATGCATTTAATGAGCACCTACTATATGTCAATCACTGTACTGAGTCTTGAAAATACTGAGCAGAAAGTCAAAATCTCTGCCTTCCATAGTGTCAGAGTCATGCTCTATGGAAGAACTGTCCATAGTAGGCCATGGAAATTTGGGGGGGCATCTAGCACACACGAGTTCATGAGGGGAATGAAGCAGTGGGAGGCTGAGGACTGGGCTCATTTATTAAGATTACTGAAGCTAAGACAGTCAGAGAGGGTGTTACAGACATTGTGGAAAGAGTTGGGGGTTTGAAAGTGAATGAGGAAATTACACACAATTTAATTTGGAAAGGAAAGACAGAAGTACTTACATTTTAATTTTTTTTTTAATTTTAGCTGTATAAGAGATCAACTTAAAGGACCCCATAGTAACTTAGTTTGGAAAGTGGGGAATCATGAGACATGATTAATTACTCCTGAAATTAATTTTCTCATTCTTCCCTCCCCTTCTTCCCATGACTTGATTTTTTTTTAAAGACCTGCTTTTCTAACAGTGAAATTCCTAGACACAGAATGTAGTATTCTGCAGGCACTTAACACATGTACATTGAGTACCCTACACAAAGACTTGCAGTGTGTTCAGCCCACGCATCTCATCACAGGTTGTCATACTCCAGCAGGCCAGTGCAGACACTGCCATAGCCAGCTGCAGTGAGTCCATTGCCTCTCAGGCTTTTCTTGCCTCATGTGTAGAATAAAGCACTAGACTGGATGGTTTTTCAGTCCCTTTGAACTCAAATGGTGTATGATTCTAATCCTCCAATTTCATAAAGTCGGCCTGTCTCATTGTGGAGCTCTGGATGGGACAGATATCAGTGCAGGAGTAGCCAGGACCTAAGTACCAAACACCCATACTCTGAAGTCAAAGGAACAAGCTGCAAGTCTGAAAAGTTGCAAAGGGGAAGGAAGGAGGAAGATGGATCAAAGAAAAAAAAACATTGAAAGAAACAGGCTCACATAGGAGGCAAGAGAGACATAGAAAGAAAGGTATGTGCAATGAGACACAGAGACGAAGAAAGACAGGAAGATGGAAGAAACACAGAGAGAAGGAGCTAAAATCCAATTAAGCCCTGACTGAAGCCACACGCCCCTTTCTAGGGAGGACCAGGATCAGGAGGCTGATAACATCTTTTAATGAACTAGAGGAGAGGGAGGAAAGTGTGAGGATAGCAAGGCCTGCTGTGACCCTGATATGCATGTTGCCCTGGGAGGGCAAGCCTGGGTCAGGACAGGTGCTAAAGATGCTGAAAAGGTCATGACCCTCCCTCCCAAACTGAGTCCTCACAACAAAGCTGCCCAGCTATGGCCCAAGTTGGCACATCCTCCAGGCATGGGTCCAGCCACAGAAGGGAGTCCAGATCTGTCACCTTTGTGCCTCTCCAACCCAGCACCACTCCTGGAAGCCAGCAGGCACCTGCTTAAAGGGTTTTTGAAAAACGGAATTCTATTTCCCTGAGTGTAAGCTCCATGAGATGGTGTTTTTTTGTCCTGATTTTTCCTCCAACATCTAGAACAGTGCTGGTGTGTAATAAATACACCAGGAGTCACTCCGTGCCATGGCCCTGAGATGGCAGCAGAAGAGGTCAGAAACGGCACCTTCTTCTTGCTGCAGTAGATCTGCCATTTCTTCTCAGGGGGCAGCGCAAACACAGCCTCCCGGTTTTTGTCGGTGAGATCCAATTCATCCTGCAAAGACAGCAAGAAAAATGTCTGGTATCCAGAGATGAATACTCAGCCCTCCAGAAAATTACAAGTCCCCCTAAAGCTATCCCTCAGCCAACTAGCTTCCTCCCAAAGAGGATCAAAGATATGACAGGACAATTTTTCCTCTGCTAGAAATAGAGCCCACCCTTGCTTCAACCCAAGCCTATATTGCTTTTATCAACACACATCCTGCAATGCTTTGCTAGCCCTTAATCCTCTTACCCCCAGGGTTTCTTGTCTTCCTTCCTTTGTCATTCTTAAACTTGTCAACACCACAAGTCAAGGCCAGACAAAGAAAAGAGTCATTCTACAGATCCAGTCTTTGCCCCTATTCTGAAAGTTACTGTGACCATCTAGTCTCTCCTCCAGAAATTCTCAGGTTTCCCTAACCTCCACATGGATCCCAGCAAGTCTGGGGGAGCCAGTAAGGACGGTGAGACTGAGAAACTCTCCTGGCTTGGAGGGCATGCCATATCAAAGGAGTTGCTGACCTGCTTCCCCAGAGGAGTCCCTCTGCCAGAGGCAGCCAATCTGCCTACGTGACCCCCAACACAAGGCAGGGAATGCACAAGGCGTGGGGCTCTGGCAGGCTAGGTCACACTTTCTGGGGAGAATGGAGAAGTTTCTGACTTCATCAAACTTACGGCAGCTCTGTGGGTAGTTTTGGGTAACTTTATAGGTTTGGCTGTGCTAAATGGCCCCTAAAAGGCTCTCTTCTTGAAGATGCTCTGCCTGTGATTCATGAGCAATGCTCAACCTCATCAAAGAAATGATTAATGGACCATGGGGAGCACAGTGCACTTCTCAACTTAATTACTGGGAGGTTTTTTTAAACCAAAAGCAAAACTTGCATTAAGATAATAAAGCACAGTATTACTAACTTTTTTATTTTAAAAATGATAAACAGTTAAAGTGATATCTAAAATATGAGTCTAAAGTATGAATATTTATACTTTTTTTCCCTATACTTTTTTAAAAATCCTCACCTGAGGATATTTTTCCATTGTTTTTTGAGAGAGAGGAAGGGAAAGAGAAAAACATCGATGCAGGAGAGAAGCATCGATTGGTTGCCTCTTGTATGTGTCCATACTGAGGATGGAACCTGAAACCTAGGTATGTGTTCCAATGGGGAATTGAAACTACAACCTTTCAGTTACAGGATGGCATCTTAACCAATTGAGCCATACAAGTCAGGGTTTCCCTATACTTTTATTCATGGGAGAATGTTTAAGATTTTCCTTCACCTAGATCGAAACTGTCCAATAGGAATATACATGAGCCACATGTATTTTAAAAATGTCCATGTACATTAAAAATGCCACATGTAGATTAAAAAACTAAGAAATATATTTTTAGGTTTTATTTAACCCAAACTATCTAAAATATGATCATATCCACATGTAGTCAATGTAAAAAAAATCATTGAGATATTTTACATAAAACCTGATGTATATTTTATCATTACAGCTCATCTCAGTTCAGACCAGCCATGTTCCACATGGTCGGCAGCCCCACATGACCAGTGTGCCACCTTGGACAGCTCACACAAAGGCAATGTGAAACAATGCCCACCAGTTCACCTGCCTTTGGAAACAAAGACTCCTGCAGATCTAATGCTAAACAAAGGTTCTTCCCTAGAACCACTCCTGATATAACCCAGAAGTGTCCATAATCAGAATTCCCAGAGCCCTGCTTGAGGTTCCTTCAGTATTTCTTTTTCCATGGTCAGACTCAGAAATAAAAGAAAAAGTAGAATTATTCAACTAGTACTTCCCTCTGCATCTCTTCTGCTTTGCTTGCACAGTTAGTTCCACCCAGAATGCCCTCTCTGCACACCTACCCACCCCGTGGGCCTGGTCCGATTTCCAAGCTCAAAGTCAGCTCCCTCTAGCAAGCCTTCTGCAGACCTTCTCAGGTGAGAATGCTTCTTCCTTCCTGAACTCCAGAACAGTTATATTCATCATTATATTGTGTTCATTTATGCATTTGTCTTTTCTTGCCAGTGGTCTCTGTCACTAAATCAATGGACGTTTCTTGGCAATTTGGTTTAGCCCAGATAGCACATGACTCTTACTGAATCTCTCTGCCCTGGTGTCTTTGACAGCCACACTCTTGGTCAGTCCCTCCTGCTTTACCTTAGGTTCCCCTTGGGCTCCCTCAATGACTTCTCCCCTTCTCTCCTAATATCAAAGTCCCTCAGGACACCATCCTGGGTCCTTTTCTCTCCTCCCTTGATGCTTCCCTCGGTGAAGCCTTCTCAGTCATTCCCAAAGACTCAATCATTATCCTGAACTCTCTCAAACCTATACCTCCAGCTCACCAGTTTCCTGAGCTCTGGATTCTGGGAACCTTCTGCCTCCTGTACTTAACTGCTTTGAGGTACCTTACACACCTATGTAGTGTTGTTATGTGCCAGACATTGTTCTAAGTGCTTAATGTTTACTCATTAAAGGTGCTACAGCCTATCTTACAGATGAAAAAGAAAGAATATGCAAACTGAGTTCATTACCCCAATCCTCTAAATCCAAGTATCCTCTGGCATATCCTGTCCTGTATAGGGTCCAACATCCACCCAGTTCCTCATGTCAGAAACCTGGGAGTTCCTTAACTCCTACTCACTCAGCCATCCCAACAAGTGCTATTATAGTTTTTCCTAAATAGCTCTTAAATCTGTCTACTTCTCTTTATCCTCACTGCTAACACTTGAGTCCAAGCCACTATACTTCCTATTTTGGACTGCACCAAGGGCCTCCTAATGGTCTACCCAGGACCATTCTTCAACAGAATACCCTGAATGGTCTATTAGAAAAGTAGATTGAATCACCTCAAAGCCCTGTTTAAAGCCTTCAGTGGCTTTCTGTAACCCTTAGAATTAAATCCAAATGTTCAGTTCTTCCTGTTTTCATGGTGTCTCCCAAAATGACTTGCTCTATTCTATGGGGGACCCTCTGATTGTACTGTACCTCCACTTACATATCTAACCATAACTCTATTTTCAGATATCAGAGGAAGTGTCACTGTTTTAGGGGGACCATCATGACCCCTATTCCAGAATAAAGCTTCTTGCTAAACAGTCCCACAGCCCCCTGAATATTCCCTTTCCAAATACTCACCACAATTGTCATTATTGTTTAGGATCAGTGTTCCCTGTTAGAGGTCTCAGAGGCAGGGACCGTGCCTGTTGGATCATCATTAAATCCCTGCCCCCACAGAACCCAGCACACAGAAGTGAGCATTTGGATTTAATTCTAAGGGCTACAGAAAGCCACTGAAGGCTTTAAACAGGTTTTTGAGGTGATCCAATCTACTTTTCTCAATAAACATTTTTTATTTATTTGATCAATAACTGATGCTAGTCTCCTTACAGACAAGACTTCTCTGACTTATCCTTGCTTTTGCCAAAGTACCTTGTTAGGAGTCCTGCTCACTCAAGGTGCTCAGTAAATACTTGCTGAATAAAAGGGCCACAGGAAGGAATAATCTCATCATGTCCTTCTATCAAAACTCATGCACTCTCTTCAAGAAAATGTGCCTGTGATAATGTAAGAAATACACTGTTGATCTTTGTTCCCAGTTCCTAACACAGAGCTCCTAAATCCCTTGGAATTTCCTGGGTTATAAGAGCCTCTTTTCTTCTAGTGAAGCAACTCTTCATGAGACCTAGGTTGATTCCAGATAGGGGCTGGCCACCAGAAAGATCAAGCCTTGATTAGAAGCCTAGAAATTTCAGCCTCATTTCCCAAACTCCAGAGAGAGGACTGGAGATTGAGCTAAAACTTGCCTAAAACATGATGAACTCCATAAAAGCCCCTAAATGGCAAGGCACTAAGAGCTTCCAGGTTATTGAACCTAAACTCCACAGAGACTGAAGCTTTTGTGCTCAGGGCAGAAGCCTTGCTGCCCTTACCTTTCCGGGCATTATCCTATGTACCTCTTTACCTGGCTGTTCATTGGTATTCTTTATAATATCTTTTATAATAAACTGGCATTAGGAAGAAAAGTGGTTCCCTGAGTTCTGTGAGCCATTCTAGCAAATTATTGAACCTGATGAGGGGATCATGGGAACCCCCAATTTGCATCTAGTTGAACAGAAGAGTGAATAGCCTGGGAACCCACTACTTGTGACTGGTGTATAAAGTGGGGGGCAGTCTGCTGGGCCTGAACCCTTAAACCATGGGGTCTGTGCTAATTCCAGGTAGTTAGTGTCAGAAGTGAGTTAAGTCATAGGACACCCAGTTGGTGTCCACAGAGAATTATAGAATTGCTTGGTGTGGAAATCCACACACTTGGTGGCAGCAGTATTTTGAGTAAAACACAGATCTCAGTAGTGCTCACACCCATCAGGCTCCACATGCTAGTCTACACTAGGAAACACCTTGTTCTCTCCCACCCTATTCCCATCCCAAGAAAAGGTATAAGTTAGGACACCAATGAGTTCTCCTAAATCTGACGTAATGTGGAAGGTAGACAACTTTTTCACGTAAACTTCATGGTCTCACCTTACAGTGTCCTGTTATTTGAAGGCTAGGTGGCCTTAATCAGATATGTCTATTATCGAATTCAAGTATGATGTCTCATTCCAAATCACACTGTATTGTTTCTCCAATGGTCAACCAGGAGTATGAGTGACCAAGGAAGGACTCACAGTAGATGAGCTTGTGCTTATCACTCTGCTCTATGCCCCGGTTAGGTCTGGGTCCTGGGCACAGGTGCTGCCTCCCTGACCTGGGACTCTCCCTGGCATGCAGGCTGGTCTCACCATCAGACCTCCAAAGACAGGGATCATGCATCTTTCCTGTTCTGCCTCTTTGTGGTCAAAGGATGATGTTTCACACACAGGCACAGTGTTGCTCTAGTCTAGACAGGTGTCAAAGAGTCAAGGAGAGCTGATGACAATGTGAGTGACAGAGCTTCTGCCTCCCTAAGGCTAGACATGGTCATCCCATACCCAAGCCAGCTCCAGGTGTGATGTTGGCATCTCCATCTCCATACTACTAGCTAGTCCTCACCTGTTCTGAGGCACCCACTGTCTGCCTACAGAAGTCCACCCTGTCTCTTCTTCCTAAGCCTGAGACAGAAGGATCCTAGGGATATTCTGGAGAGCCAAACACAGAATGGTGTCAAGTGTTCTGATGTTCTTTGAGCTGTCACTGCCTCATTTCACAAAAGTCTTGACTTATTCTTTTCATGGTGGCCTAAATGCTGCCCCATTAGGTCAAGAATCCAAAGGAGACATGAGATAGGCCCATTCTTCTGAGGATACATTTTGCAGTAAGTGACTGTTTCTCCCACAGAGCTCAGGTGTCCTGGGGGACCTACCTCAGCCCCAAGCAGAGCTTTAGAGGTGAAAACCCCAGCACATGGGCCCCTGCCCTCTGTCTTGCTTTACCTTCTCCAGCCATTCATTCCCCTCCTCATTGTCAACATGGTCCCTACCCCTTACTCACCACCAGCTCTGCGAAGCGGACGTTAAGCTCCTCTGCATTCGGAATAGGACTGGAGAACTCCATGTACTGCAGGGGGCTACTGTCCCGGAGGTTGATCTCAGGGAGGTCGCCACCCCCAAAGCAGCACAGGAAGCCCAGGCCATGGCGACTCCTCTTGCGGGGGGCCATGGTCACCACAGGCCAGGGGATGATCAACAGGCAGATGCCCTAGGTCCTCATTGTGATCTGGGTAAGAGGAGAACAGAGAGCACAGAGTGGTCAGGCATGGCAGCCAGGTAAGCACAAGACTGTGGTCACTCTGCCACCATCACTCAGTAGTCCTTGACTCATTTGCTGAGCCCCTTCCCTTCTCCCACTGCATCTCTGCTTTCTCTAGCTCCTTTTACCTGAGGCACTTCTTCCTCACCACACCCTTCCAGTGTGTCCTCACACAAACACTTTCAGATTGCCACTCTGTGCCCCTAGAGAAGAGAGAAGGTCGAAAATGGCACTCATCTTACCTCCTCCGTCACTGTCAGATGGAATCCTATCCCTTATCCTCCAGCAGACCCATTTTCAGCAGGGCTCACCCACTCCATTCATTCTGGGGCTTGGGGATACCCAGTTTAAAGGTTTAATACAATGGGGAAGAAGAGTTAGTATTTGTAAGTATTGATTCTTAGCCGTTTCTTCTAGATTTGGGTCATGAACAGAATGATGAGAATGTCTCCATGGTCTTTAGTCACATCATTGCTAAAAATGTTGACCACAATGAGGATATAGACAGACCTAGATGGGAATGCCAAAGAACTAGCCATCACCTCTCTCAGAGAACAGTCCTCCAACCAGCTCTGAATCCACAAACCCATGTAGTTATCCAGCCCTCTTTTCTATAAAGACACTATAGGAGATTTTCCTAAAGTCTCACAGAACTTGAGACATTCCTAATCTAAGGTATTCCTTTGAAACAAGCTCTAGAACTTTATCAAGAAAAGATAAGTTAAATGTTTCATAACTTGTTCCTACTGAACTCAAGGTAACTTCTGGAGATCCTTGCTTTGTTTCCCAAATCCTAACCATCTAGCTAATAACTTAATCATCTGATCCAGCCTCTCATATAAATCATGATGCATTTTAATTGTCATTCTAGAGCTTTTAACCAGCTCCATTTTTTCTTTCTTTATAGGCTTTTTAACATACCCAGAAGAGCTTCAAATAACATACAACCTGAGGTTGTCTTCTATTATAGGTCATCTTTTATGTATTTACATATTGGCTCTCCACAGCTATTATGAAGCCTACTTGAAGGCAGGGGCCATGCCTCCTGCTTCTTTGACACCCCTCCCCCCATTTTTATAGCTAATAAAATGCCTTGCACTTAGTGAAGGTTCAATAAATATTTCATGGTCAATTGAAAAACAACCTGTGTTCATGGAAAAGGAGGAGAGAGGTCCTTATTAATCAGTCAAGAAATAATGACTGAAATCTCTGATTTCTAGTGGTTGATAAGCCAATGGGAATCCTGTAAGTCTGTTGTTGCCTCCCTCTCTTAGGGTCCCATCTAAACATCTAAAACTGAAGACACAGATGATTCAGCTGGAAGTCATGTAGCTTCATGGAAGAAAGCAGAAAATTGAGGTCTAGGAAGGGAATGTCTTATCTGAGGCCACACAGGCTAGGGAAAGAGCTGGGGCTGAACCCCAGGACCCCAGTGCTCAGGCTATGGTCTGGTCACCACCTTACCAGAGCTCATCTTCCCACTCAATTGTCCTTTACCCAATGCCCTAGCTTCCTAGTAGTCGCTCTTCACTAAAGAACACCAATCTCAACAGCTTAGTTTAGAAGTACTTCCAGTCTCTGCCCTGGCTGGTGTGACTCAATGGATTGAGTGCTAGCCTGTGAACCAAAGGGTTGCCAGTTTGATTCCCAGTCAGGGCACATGCCTGGGCTGTGGGCCAGGTCCCAGTAGGGGGGCATGCAAGAGGCAGATACACATGGATGTTTCTCTCCCTCTCTTTCTCCCCTCCTTCCTCTCTCTCTAAAAATAAATAATTAAAATCTTAAAAAAAAAGAAGTAGTTCCAGTCTCAAAGGTCCCCTCTAAACCAGCAGAAGCCTATGAGGATCCCAAGACCACCTGATTTTCTTCCGTCAGAAGGAACAGCTGCCACCACCCCAAGTTCCTATTCATCTCTGTTCTAACCTCTCCTCCACTTGAGTAGAGTCTTCTAAGTCAGAGGAACTGGGATTTGACTCCTGGCTGGATGATCCTGCACATGTTTCATGAGGCCTTAATTTCTCAGGCCCTGAGGATTCTCACCTGTGACACCAAGATAATAATCATAGTATCTTCCTCACTGGGTTTTGGTGAAATGTAATTGAGGTAACATAAATAAGATGCCTGGAGCACACTGGGCCCTCACTGCTGCTATGGCTTCATTATCATTTTCACAGTAAGGTGAGACTGCCCTGCCCAGAGCCTGCAACTGGAAGCCCTTATCCAGGCATGGATGGGGCCACCAAGCAGGGCATTGTAGAAACTTACCCACCTAGATTTAAGAAGCTTCCTGGCTTTGCCTCCAGTAACTGCAAGGTCTGAACTAGAGGATCTGAGCTTTACCTCAGGCTCTGAGCTACTTCTAGTTGAACAGGTAAACACTTATTACTGACCCTACTGGAAAGGTACAGTGAACAGAGTGGTTCATTTCTGCAAAATCCCTTTACAAAGACAAGCAATGGAGGCTCCCATATTAGAAAAGAATTGAGAAGCAATATGAAAAACTGTGAAGCAACAACAGAACAAAATCCAGGGGACTTGAACTTAGGCCAGACGGATTTAGCATGCCCCCTACTCCACCACTTACCTTTCTCTCCATGGAAACTTCCCCAGTACCAACAGCTCCATGCCCTTCCTATTCTGTCTCCTCGCCCCATCCCCATCTCCTCCCTGTGGGGACAAGGTCTTCTAGGACTTAGACCCTAAACACAGACATACCAATGGCCTAAGGTCAAACCATCTGGTCACCATCAACTAGCACTCCTATGACTGTCACAGGGTCTCCTCCAGCCCTCTGGCTCCTGCCAGACTTCCTCTCCTGAATGTCACATCCCTCCACATTATAGAGAAAACATATTTCCTCAACTGAGAAGACCAGGGCTAGTCACCAGCCAGCTGTGGGTCAGGGAGTCATGGTGTTATCCTCTCTGGGCCTCAGTTTCCTCTCGGCACAGTGGCAGGGTTCAAATGAAGAACTCCCAGAGTCCAGTCAACTCTGACCTTTCACACTATCTGGCTTGATCTCATTCCCAAAGATTTCCCCAGGGGCCCTCCTCAGCCCGCACAGAGCACTCCTCCCACATTCCGCCCCAAGCCAGGAAGCACTTCCTATTTCTTGAGTTCAATAGTCCCATTTGGTCTGCAAAGATGAAAATCCTAACCCTTACTCCCGTGCCCTGGCCCCCAGCCCCTCTACACACCAGTTTTTTGCATTAATTAGGACTTCAAAACTCCATATCATCAGTGCTTACTCCTAAGTCATAACTAAGAGCAGAATATATTAACACTGAGACTCTAGTATTTACCAGACACTGAGCTATATCTACATTGCATCCTCATAACAACTCTCTGAGATATGTGGCATCATTTTAAAGAAGTTATTTAAAGAAAAATAAAATCCTGTGGTTCAGAGAAGTTAAGTAACTTTCCTAAAGACATACAGCCAATTATGGCATAGCTAGGATTCAAACATGTGACTTTGACTCTAAAGCTATAAAGCACTAAGCCATAGTGCACAGGTCTAGGGAATGTCCTAATCTGAAACCTGCTCAGAGCTTTCTCAAGTGTTCTATAGGCTCTGACTCAAAAATCATTTTAATAGAGCATTTCCTATGAGTTAGACCAGGTGCTTTCAGAGCTCTGTAACCTCATTTCAGCTTTGCAATGACCTTGTGAGGTGGTTATTACTATTATCCCTCCTTACAGATGATGATATTAGGGCTTCAGCAGCTGTTCCATGACTTGTCAACAACACCAGCTGTGAAGGGACAGAGCTGCAACTCACAACTAAATATTCTGACTCCAAATTCACTGCTCTTGTCAGAGGACCAAAGCTGACTCAGAATCCCTTCCTTTAGCTCTTAGGACCAATGCTGTGGCTTCAGAGTACTCAAGTTGCCTTCTCCTATCCCCTCCCCCCAGCTCCATATGTGGGGGTAACAGAGCAAAGATATGCTATTGTGTCTCCTTGGCCACTTCCAATATGCCTCCAAAATGGCAGGCACTGTGCTGACAGTTTAGTACTTTATGTTATTTACTCTCTCCAATAACATGACTATCCCTTCTTACTGATGATGACATTAAGACTCCCAAAGGTCAGGCAACTTGGCCAACGACCACGTCCTATGGGTGAAGGGGCTGGATTTGGAGGATAGTGGTGGCATACAAACACACATGCTTTTAACCAGCCTTTAGCCTGTGTGCTAAATACTGGCCTGGATGGCGATGACTGAACAAGGCATGGTCTTTCTCCTCAAGGGGGGCGCCTTCTAGGGTAGGAGCCAGGGGAATCAAGGCAGTCAACAGAGAAAAGTTAGAGAGACAGGTGTAGTGGCAGCACTGAGAAAGAGGACGTGGTTTAGCCTAGGGAAGGTGCCCAGGAGAAGATGACACTGAGCTAGTCTTGGAAAAGATGAGAGAATTAAGGAAGGATAAAAGGTGGAAAAAGGCATTCTAAGCAAGGGGAATAGTATAAGAAAGGTACAGAGCATGGTGTACATGCGGCCAGAGTTCTAACCAGTGGCTTATTATTAGGTTGGCCAAAAAAGTCTGTTTTATTTTTTCAGTAAAATAAAAGACACATTTTTCATCTTCACCAATAACTTCATTGATCTGGATATTTTGCATATGTCGGCTAACTCCCACTATTGGGTCCTAGGGGGTAGAGGCCAAGGGTGCTGCTGAACATCTTCCAATGCATAAGACAGCCCCACAGCAAAGAATTATTTGGCCAAAATGTCAATAGTACCAAGAAACTTCACAAAACACTTTTGACACATTTGATCTGTCACAGCACCTTCTCCATACACTGCACAAATCTTTTTTGTATTTCAGTTTCATTTTTACCTTTCTTGAAATAATAAAACATAATAAGCTGAAAATGTTGCATATTTTCTTCCATCTTTGATGTTAAAATGGCTGCACAAAAATTCACCAATTTTGATAAGCTTTTTATAAATGCATGCTGATAT